AGCCTAGATCTAGGTCACTAGACTCAATGTAAATTCTAGATCTAGACTTAATGTAAATTCTACATCTAGAATCTATTTCAGGCCTTAATACATCTAGAATCTATTTCAGGCCTTAATTATTTTATATAAATCTTTGTTTGGCTAATTTAAGATAAAATTTAATTTGAAAGTTACTAGATTCTACTACTAGACTTAGATCTAGATCTATGCGCGGAGACTCAAAAGTATAGTATAAAAATTCATTTGTGACGTCACGAGTAAATAGCTAAGTTGATATCGTAGTCCGCTCTCATGCGGGTGGCACAGGTTCTAGACCAATATGTCAATGATATTTTTTTTCAATTTTTTTTTTTTTTAGATGTGAATGATAAAGTTGCCTATCTGAACTTGGCAGGATACAGGGCAGGTGAAGTAGAGTTCATCTGTTTCTTTGTCCTAAGCATATGAAGGGATAGTGTGGTCAGAGACATGCTCGGCTGGAATCGTTTTTTAAACGATAAAAACATGTTGTCTGAGACTTGGCGGGACACTGGGCAGGTGAAGTAGAGTTGAGTAGGTCACATGTGACGTCAGTATATGAAGAGATAATCCGAAATCGGTGTTTTTAAAAGATAAGAAACATATTTTTGAATGTGGGGTCTGTTTTTTGTGACGATAAGTGACACTGCAGTAGCGTAGCGAGGAGGGGGGGGGGTGGCGGGAGGGGAGGCGGGGGGGGGGAAGGGGAGGCGGGGGAGGGGAAGGGGGAGGGCGGGGGGGGACATATGTTGGGGCGCCAAAATGGTTTGGAAAAATAAATTGAAAGGTTGAGGGGGGTTCAAATCGAAAGTTTGAGTGGGGGGGGTGCACATCAAAAGTTTGAGGGGGGGGGGCTGCACATCAAAAGTTTGAGGGGGGGGGGGGGGTTAAAATCGAAAAGTTTGTCCCCGGGCGCCGGGAAGGGTCGCTATGCCTCTGAGTGACAGACGTGATGTTTTTTGATGGATGACCCCGAAACCCACAGTTATCCAACGGATGGCGGGTATTCTAGTATACTACTAAAAGTCAAGTTTGTTTACATGTTTGAATATTTATTTTTTTGTTTGTCCGATCGAGTATTGTGATATGTTCTACTCTATCTGGAGAGCTGTAAAATAGTATGTAGGTAGAGAATAATTATTTTAATGCAGACAGACTGTTAATCACAAATTTATTTAAAGACGTTAATTAATTTATTGATTTATTCATACGTAGAGTAACCCTATTTTTTTAAAAAGTTTAGAACGACCACTACACTTGGCGGGACCGTGACGTCACAGTTTTTTGTTTACTCTTTAGTACAATAAAATGGCGGCGTCTATCGAAGAAAATTGTGTTCCCATTCAAAAGTTTAACGCGTTCTAAATCTAATTTTCTGTCGGTCATAACTTTAACAATACGTCCGTTTGCTGTATTTATTACGTTCCAACACATATCAATTTTCAACTGTCTTTTTTCATTTAGTTTTACAATAAATTTCTCTAGATCTAAAGATCAGCTGTCGAAGGAAAGTTATGAATCTAGCCTAGATCTAGATCTAGATCTAGCCTAGATCTAGGTCACTAGACTCAATGTAAATTCTAGATCTAGACTTAATGTAAATTCTACATCTAGAATCTATTTCAGGCCTTAATACATCTAGAATCTATTTCAGGCCTTAATTATTTTATATAAATCTTTGTTTGGCTAATAAAATTTAATTTGAAAGTTACGACTACTAGACTTAGATCTAGAATCTAGATCTATGCGCGTAAATCAAGTTGCATAAGGAGACTCAAAGTATAGTATAAAAATTCATTTGTGACGTCACGAGTAAATAGCTAAGTTGGTAGCGTAGTCCGCTCTCATGCGGGTGGCACAGGCTCTAGACCAATATGTCAATTTTTTTTTTTTTTTTTCAATTTTTTTTTTAGATGTGAATGATAAAGTTGCCTATCTGAACTTGGCAGGATACAGGGCAGGTGAAGTAGAGTTCATCTGTTTCTTTGTCCTAAGCATATGAAGGGATAGTGTGGTCAGAGACATGCTCGGCTGGAATCGTTTTTTAAACGATAAAAACATGTTGTCTGACACCTTGGCGGAACACTGGGCAGGTGAAGTAGAGTTGAGTAGGTCACCTGTGACGTCAGTATATGAAGGGATAGTCCGAAATCGGTGTTTTCGGTGTTTTTAAAAGATAAGAAACATATTTTTGAATGTGGGGTCTATTTTTTGTGACGATAAGTGACACTGCAGTAGCGTAGCGAGGAGGGGGGGCGGGAGGGGAGGCGGGGGGGGGGGGGGGGAAGGGGAGGCGGGGGGAGGTGGAGGGGGGAAGGGGGGGGCGTGGGGGGACATATGTTGGGGCGCCAAATGGTTTGGAAAAATAAATTGAAAGGTTGAGGGGGGTTCAAATCGAAAGTTTGAGTGGGGGGGGGGGGTGCACATCAAAAGTTTGAGGGGGCGGGGGTTGAAAATCGAAATCTTGGGGGGGGGGTTAAAATCGAAAAGTTTGTCCCCGGGCGCCGGGAAGGGTCGCTATGCCTCTGAGTGACAGACGTGATGTTTTTTGATGGATGACCCCCGAAACCCACAGTTATCCAACGGATGACGGGTATTCTAGTTTCATTTTAAAAGTGATTCAACTATTTCTCTCTCATATAGTGCGGGCCATACTTAGCTGCTGTGATACAGCGACATTAATATTAAAGTGTCTGTCATACTTTAACTTTGCTGCCTAGCAACATAAAGCTCTCCCTGGGTATGCATGCATTTAAATTTTAAACCCAATGACACAAGCAGAGTTTCTTCCAGGGATCTCTTTGGGGACAGTGTCGTCGTCGTCCCGTCCCGTCCCCCCGGAAATTTTAGTTCACCACCCCCCCCCCCCCCCCCCGGCGAAAAAAGTCTGGAAGAAACACTGGACACAAGAGACTGCCCTTTGGTTGTTGATTTTAATTCCCTCCCGCGGTACTGCCAAACTTGATAAAATTTTCCTGGGGAGGGGGGGGGGGGGCGGACACTGTTAAAAGTACAATTTTCTATATACATACCATTTCGTTCGGGGGGGGGGGGGGGGTAGACTTTCTTCGCCCCCCCCCCCCCCCCAAAAAAAGATGCCTGAAAGAAACTTTGTAAGGGATAGTTGGTCAGCACTATATGCCCATAGCCGTCTTTACTTTCACTGACAAACTCGGGACTTTGAGGGGGAGGGGGAGTTTAGATCGTGTAACGTCACACTTGAGATTTAAAAAGGTAATGTTAGAAACTGAATTTTAGCATTTATTTAACTTTTTTGAAAATTTTTTCAATAAATTGTAATAGAAATTGATTAAAATATCCTATGATGACCGAGATCAGTCATTATTTTAGAGCAGGGGTCTCCAAACTTTTCAGCCCGAGGGCCGCATTAACTTACAAATATCAGTTCGGGGGCCAGAGTTTATTTAAGGCATCTCTTTAGGGTCGTGACGCCCTCCCGCCCCCCCCCCCCCCCCCCGAAATAACGTCTGCAGCAGATACCAATTTTTATACACACTCTTCATGAGACAATAATGGCTGTGACTTGCCTTTACTATCAGGAAGTCACCTATTTCTTTTCTTAGATACTCTGCTCAGAATTTTTTCGCAAAATTAGCAATCTTAGTGATGTGAAATATGGTATATCTTGCGATTTTGTGTTTGTCTCTGAACTATCTATGGTCAGATATCCTCTTCGGTAACAGTGTCTTACATTATATGTAGGTAAGCCTGCTCTTGTGTTATGTTCATGTCTTCATCCACACCTCTAATGAACACAAGAAGTTGAGAGGTGGAACAACTGCCCAGCGACTCATCCATTACAATTAAAAAATGGCGAAACTTGCTTGAATTTTTTGCTATTTGAGTCGCAATGTTTTCACCAATGCCTGCAAGACGGCGAGTAATTGTATGTGCACCCAAAGCTACATTTTCAAATAGTTTTGAATTTTCTGTGCAAAGTTCCTTAGCCACCTCCAACAAACATTTATTCAGTGGACAAAAAGATCGTCGCGGGCCGGATAAAATGACCTCGCGGGCCGTAGTTTGGAGACCCCTGTTTTAGAGGAAAAGAAATATGTTTATAAAAATCAAATGCAATTTTTGAGTGGGGTTGTAGGATGAGGTGCGAAGTCATTTTAGGGGGGGGGGGGGGGAGGGCTGGGTTTTTGTGATGACGTGGGGGCGGGTAAAATCGTCAAAAAAAGCGTGACGTCATTAATAGATAACCCCTTTATATACCACAGTTTTTCTTTTGGGCATTTCTCCGGGGGTTAAGCCCTACTTAACTGTCGGTCGGGACATGAGTGATTTTCTTAACTGCAAAAATTTTAAAGTGACTTCACTCTCTTTAACACCACGCCCCCCCCCCCCCCCCAGGCCAAAACACATAGGCCTACGGGTTTTATTTGAAAATGCTTCGATATTTAAGACTGACGGGTGACTGAATGCCGAAATAGGTGTAGGATCATAAGTGAAGCACGCAGAAAAAAAAAACGACGGGTTTCTGAGTACCCGGTTAGGCTAAACTGCTATTTCTAAAGGACACTGCGACTTTGAAATAACCTTTGGACTCGTTGGATAAGCTGGTTTATGCTAGTTTCTTCGGCGTTTTATTTACCCACTTCCTGCCCAGCTGTGCGTGACGTCACTTCATGCAATGGAGTTGTTGATGTTTCAGAAACGTAAACACTAAACACGACGGTTGAAATTTTATAAACTAAACTTTCCTCAGTTATTTCTAGTAAGTAATTTATTAGTTCACAAGAATAGGTTAGTTGATATCTTATTCCTGTGTAGGCTAGACTTACATAGATCTAGTCTAGTACCAGATTCTATCGTTTTAATTTTTAGTAAGGTAGTCTACGTAAAATCGCCCGCGACTAGATTCTAGATCTAGCTAGGCCGCTAGGCTAACAACTAGTAATGTGAAAAACAGGTGACTCCTTAAATTTTAATAATTATTTCACACATTTTAGGAGGATTCATGCTTTGTAGGCTACCTGTTTTAAACAATTGAATTAAAACTTTTCAATAATAGGAATAGGCCTAAATGTAAATGAACACTAGCGATGTTTCCAACAGATGCAACCATGCTCATTTACTATAGCCGAGATTCAGGGGAAGCCACTCTATTTTACAAATGGCTGCTGTTTATAGCAAATCTTGCTCACAAACACTACATGTTCTTGTTTGCCATTGTCTGGATCATCATCCTCTTTCCCCTTTTGTTTACCATTATCTGGATCATCGTCCTCTTTCCCCTTTTGTTTACCATTATCTGGATCATCGTCCTCTTTCCCCTTTTGTTTACCATTATCTAGATCATCATCATCTTCCCCTTTTGTTTTGGGGGGTCGGCGTGGTCGAGTCGGTAAAGCTCATGGTTGCTAAACCGAAAAGTCTCGAGTTCGAACCCTCGGGCAGATGAGGCTCGTTAGCTGGGGACAGCAACTCTTCTAGGAGAGACAACTCCAAAATTACACATCTGCTGCCTTGTAGTTTGTTCTTGGTTGGACAAAGGCTATGGAAGCAAATCCAAAAAGAAAAGCAGGCTGAAATCGGAGTCAATGGCCTCAATGGCGCATAACCAGTTGACACGTAACGCTTAATTGTGTTGGAGGCGTGGTCGAGTCGGCAAAAAGCTCATGGTTGATAAATTCGAACAAAAGTCTCGAGTTCAAACCCACTGGCCGATAAATCTCGATCCCCTTCAACACTAAGAATTAAGAACGAAGAAGAAGAAGAAGAAGTTTACCATTATCTGGATCTGCTGATCATCATGCTCTTTCCCCTTTTGGTTACCATTATCTGGATCATCGTCCTCTTTCCCCTTTTGTTTGCCATTATCTGGATCATCGTCCTCTTTCCCCTTTTGTTTACCATTATCTGGATCTGCGGATCATCATCCTCTTTCCCCTTTTGGTTACCATTATCTGGATCATCGTCCTCTTTCCCCTTTTGGTTACCATTATCTTGATCATCATCCTCTTTCCCCTTTTGTTTACCATTATCTGGATCATCGTCCTCTTTCCCCTTTTGTTTACCATTATCTGGATCTGCGGATCATCATCCTCTTTCCCCTTTTGGTTACCATTATCTGGATCATCGTCCTCTTTCCCCTTTTGGTTACCATTATCTGGATCATCGTCCTCTTTCCCCTTTTGTTTACTATTATCTGTATCATCATCTTTTCCCCTTTTTGTGCCTAAGACAGATGGGGCAACCACAAAAGCTCTTTCCACTGTTGCTGGCCTCTAGCAGTTTCTCATGACAGTCTGGTTCTTGTCAGTTGTTTTTCTGCTGTGCGCCTCCACTTCAAGTTCTCCCTTGGCCTTATATTTTCTTTTTCCTTGGGGCTTCCAGTTCTGCAGCATTCCTGTGATATTATCTAATTTTATCCTTTAAAACATGGCTAGTTGTGTTTAGTTTCATAACTTCATTTGCAAAAAAAAAGAAGTCTGTTTGAGTCTTTTTTGCATGTCTTTTTGACAACTAGTTTCTAGCTAGTAGAGTTATGTTGTCCGCAAAATCCTCTAGGCTAGTTGTTAGTCTTTATCCTATTATTATGGTTACAGGATTTTTATCTCTTGGACACTATAAACATGTTATGTCAAACGTGTTAATTAAATAGTATTACTTTCATTCAAAGCTTGGTGACTTGCACCACACACATTTTAGAAAAGAGAATCCTCAGGAGTATAGGTGTCTGACATTAGACATCTATAGGTGTGTTGGATATGTTTTGGGTTAGAGACAAGGCTAGTGTTGGCATTAGCAAGTTGGATTAATATTTAGTTAACTGTCAATAACCTAACACCTTTTTAAAAAAAAATGAAGATTCCATAATTGTGGTATTATCAAAGTTATTACATAGTTTATCTTTCAAGTGTACAACTCACCAGCTTGGAATACAGAAATCATGTTTCATCTCAAGAAACTTAATTGTTTTATTAAAATACTTAGTTAAATTTGAATTGTTTCCCCTGTATTCCTGGTTTTGATTTTTGTTACAAAATTTAATGTAGTAGTATTATAAAAATGTTTAAATTTCAATTTCAGTGTGGGTTTGGGATATTCAGATATTTATTTTCTAAAACTAAGTGGTGTTTGATTTATTAATTAATTAATTTATGTTTATGCTATTCTTATTCTGGGAAATTATTTTTGTATGCATTCTATGTTATAATAATAACCATACAGTAGCCACTTAAAATTGTCACATTTGCGGTTAGTGTCATTTTTGCTTTACCTGATTGGGGTACCTATGTAGCTGTTTGGAAATATTTTTGGCTCTGTGTTATATTTCACTGAAATAATTTTCAGCATCCCCATAACATTGCCTATTTCTGTGTACTTTGGTCCATATGTTTTTTTAATCCTTCATGTTTGTTTGAAAGAAAATTGATCATTTTAATGATAATGACATGTTTCCGGGCAGTAGAGTCTGTGAGTGAAGACTGCATCCATGACAGACCATTTCATCATTGTCCAGTTTTAAAAGGACTGAACTTGTTAATGTGTTACAACAACTTTACCTTTATATTTGACCTCAGTTTTGTGTTGAGTTTTTTCAATGTAGCCTCACTAATAACTGTTGAAAATTATCATCACTGTTTTTGATTGTTTAAAAAGATTTTAGGTCTTTATCCTTCAAGACTTAATAGCTTAATCAGAGTTCACTATTGATCTTTTACCTCATCTGATGAAGAGTTGTATGTCAGATGTTGAACATGAATTGATTGTCCTTTATTTTTTTAAATTAGTTTAAAGCTGTTGCTGAAAGTAGGTGGAAAGAGACTTGTTTTGTTAGATGCAGGACCAACAATTCTCGATGTTTTAGCTAAGAAATAATTTTAAGTTTTTAGAAAACAATATACTTTATTTATTTGCTGTGCCTTTTCTTCATGTTATAACTTTAACTTGATAGAAAGCTACTAGTACTATACATTTTTATTCATGTTCTTTTTATTTTGTAAATTTTGTAATTTTCTACCATAACTTTCTATTTTTATTTATCAAGTAGCCTATATTTTTTTATTCAAGGGTTGTTTTATAGGTGTTCATTAAACATTTTTTGCTTTAAATGCAACATTTAATAGTTAGATTATTTTTATCAGTAGTCTGTGTAAAAGAAATGAAATATAAGTGAATACAATGTTTTCAAAATTTGTGAAAAAACAATTAACTGGTGATGAAAACCCTACTTGTGCTGGGGAAAAGTGTGGTGAACACTCGGTGGATGCTATCAGGCATGCTGAGTGTAACATTCCTACTTGGTTTGAAGACCTGTTTGATTCCCCTGTGTCTAGCAAACAACTGGTAACATTTGAAATTATTGACTTCAATAGTTTACTTTTATGTCTAGAAGATTTATTCTTCTGCTGTAGTATGGTTACATTTTTCTTTGTTATATTTATGTGTATATATGTGCTATTAATAATAACATGACAACAAAATTATTTTTTGCAAAATGATTGGAACTGTTTATTAGCAAATTTAAAATGTCTGTATAATCATTATGTATGTATATATATATATATATATATATAATTGTAATTATTTATCAATTATTTATCAATTGCAGTCTTTTTACTAATTCAAGTATCTACAATGTTATTATAATGACTTGTACCCATTATTAAAGCTTACTTGGGAGGATGAATGCATCTACTGTTTATTCAAAACTGCTAAAGTTTTGGTAAATCTTTTATTTTCAGACATCAGTGTATTCTTGCTGTTGTGATAAAACAAATCAAACATCTTTTGTGACATCTGAAACAGGTACTTAAAATAAGTGTATAAAATATTTTATTAAGATATGTAGAGATTAAAAACAGTTTTAAGAAAAGTAATATCACACATTTAAATTTGGCTTTAACATAATAAGCTGGCAGAACTCAACCTTTATGTCACATGATTCTCTACCACAATATATATGCTAAATGTAATTTAGTTACAGATATGAATGGCATAAAGGCAGATACGATGTCAAGCCCAACTGGCAACCAAAAGTTTACTTTCTCAAGGACCAGCAGCACTGGGTCAATACCAGCAGCAGGCTGCACCTCATCTGCATCATCTGCTCAAAACACAGGTGAAATCATTACACTACATGGTGACATTCTGGCTAACAGAAAATCAAATGATGTCTTAATGGTATCTATATATATAATTCTCTTCTTGGAGACCCTAGAAAACAAGCTGTAAGCGTGCCTTTCAGTCCCCTCTCTTCTTCACTAGGCATAAATCAACCTCCCCCACCCCCACATGGTCTGGTGAGCTGTGGTTCACGCTAAATGTTTACTATCTAAGAGCCAGGTTTAGTGACGGCTATTAGGGACATATAATTTAGTTTGAAACGATTTTAAATTTAGGGGGGTAACTAAGAGGAGGCTGCTTTCACGGGGGGGGGGGGGGGGGAGGGGGGTTAGGGTAGGGGTTGGGGGAAAGCTTGGGGGGGGGGGGGTATCGTACTTAACGCCCTACTGATAGTGTTTTAAAGCAAATATTTTCAGTGGCAGCATTGGTACTGTCGAATTCACAAGTTATGAATTACTGAAAAGTAGAAAATAAAACAACTAAATAGCGGCGTACGATACGTCGCGGGTTGGCTCGTTGTGAATAACACTGTATCTGATAGGTGTATTTCCAACTGCTAATATTATTCGGTCTTTATAATTACTTAATGTTGCTATGTTTTTTTTTCTTACTTAAAAGTAATATTTCAATTTATGATTACAACATTCACGTTGAAAAATACTGCCCTAGCCCATGTTTTATCTGTCAGAATAAATAAAAGAGGGAAGATAATGTAGCACAATTAGCACTCAGAATTGTAGACTCACAACCTTTTTTTGGGGGGGGGGGGGGGGGGATATTGATCACCTTAATTTTTCTTACTTCTAGCCCCAAATTAAACAATCCAATATACAGCATGGAGTTTTAATAATTAAAAGCAACATTTCGAGGGAAATTTGTGCGTGTTACTTTTTTAGTTTTAAACCTTGTGAATGATTTCTCACTGTTTTTATATGCTAAATTAAATTCTCTAAGCAATTTAACATAAATAATTTCTATTTGGTTTCCATGATTGTTTTACTGCTTATTAACTTTAATAATAAAATAGGAGCAATAGAGTTAATTAAAAAAAATATTATCTTGGTGTTTCCTCTTTGTTTTAAAAAAAAATGTTATGTTTAGATGATGAAGACAGTGAATCAAGTAAAGTACCATCATATAAAGATAGGCGACGAGAAGCTCACACTGTAGCTGAACAGAAAAGAAGAGATGCAATTAAGGTACAACTTTTCAAATACACAAAGAATTTTTTTCCCACCCTATTAACTTGCGCTGAAAACCTACTAACAATAATTTCATAAACTGACTACACATCCCTTAAGTGTTAATATCTCCTTATGGCAAAATCTAAAAATGCTACTTCCCCTATAACATAATTTTACCCTACAGAATTGGAATGGATATTAAAAAATAACATGAGGTTAATCCCACAGCTATTATTAAAATATAGTTTTTATGACATGTTCAACTAATTGTTTTTAGTGAGTTTCTTCAGAAATTCAAATTTTAAATTTGTTTTAACTGATACAAATGCATACTGATTTAACCACAGAAAGGCTATGATGAGCTTCAGGGCATTGTACCAACATGTCAACAACAAGACAGCCTGGGGTCACAGAAAATAAGCAAAGCCACTGTTCTGCAAAGATGTAAGAGTCATTTTTATTTAGTCAATAATGTTTTCAAATTAATTCCTATGATAATGATAACCTGTTTGGAGCAGTGTGTTATAATAAATTATAATTTTTTACAGCTATTGATTACATGCAGTTCTTGAGCAATCAAAAAAAGAAGCAAGAAGAGGAATTAGAATCTTTACGTAAAGAGGTTATGGCCCTTAAAATCATGAAAGCGTAAGTATCTGTCAACTTGGGTACAAAATTAAATACACTGTAAAAATAGTTTAATGAAAATGTTATTTAGATCTAAGTAGAGTTCTTTGCTTTTTATTTTTACCAGAAACTATGAACACATTGTTAAAACACATCAAAGTTCGCCATCCCATGGTCAGAACCAGGTTTCAGATGAAGTAAAATTTCAAGTGGTGAGTTAGATAATTGTACTTCAATTGTATGAGTGATAACTATATTCTTATGAGGAAAAAATTCTTTAAAATTTATTCTAGAAGTTTAAAATACTGTACTGTATATTATTTAAAAAACTATTATATCTTTAAAAATTATAATTTGTTTACATTTTTTGCTTCAGTGCTAAATGTTTATTTTTGTTTTTGCACTCTAGTTCCGTAATATGATGGACTCATTGTTCCAGTCCTTCAATGCATCAATTTCTGTTGCCAACTTTGCTGAGCTTTCTGCTTGTGTCTTCAGTTGGTTAGAAGAGTACTGTAAACCTCAGGTAATAATGGGTTCCTTTTTGTGTGAAAAACTAATATTGTAACTTATTTTAACCTTTACTTTACCCACTTTTAAGTTAAGTGGCTTAAGGCCAATAAATGTATAATGAAAGGGTTTTATAAAGTGGATCCATTTTCTCAAAATTAAGTGCCTGGCCAAAATAACTACATCAAATAAGAGGACATATACTTCTATAACCATTTCAAATTACTTTTACATTATTTTGTAATATATCAAATTTTCTCAGTTTTTAAAAAAAAATCATCACTTTAGAATTAATTACTTGGCTTTTTTTTTTTTTTGCAGGGTATTAACTAAAATACAAAAAAAAGTGAATAATTAACTAAAAAGTCTTAACTTTCTAATACAAAACACAAATTTATTCCATATAAAAAAAAACAATTAAAAACTAATGCTTTTTACATTTACAAATAAAATACACACATATTTACAATAAATACCAACACAAAAAATACAACAAATTTCTTTCAAACCTACACACTAAATGAATACCTGCAGACTAAAGTTTTTTTTTTTAAAATAATGATTTTGACACTTGTCAAATAAATGGTGACTTGATTTTTAGTCAAGATTGGTCTTACTCATAGCTGAGTTCCTATTTTAAATTCTCTTCATTTCTATATCCTGCTACTTTTCACTCCCACATTTTATTTAATTATTTGAAATGTTGGTCTATTAATTTCAGACTCTTAGAGAACTTGTAATGGGAATTTTGAGACAAGTCAACACTACTGTCAATAACCAATGATTTTTCTCAAAACTTTTTTTTTAAATGATCTGTACACCAATAAAATGCTCTGTGACATTGTTCATCTTTAATGTTCACCAATGGTAATGAGACTTTTGAACTTAGGCTAAAGTTCCAAAAGTTTTTAAAAGGGAAAGTTGATTATTAGCCTTTGCAGAGAAAAATTATAGGTCTAATGTTAAAAGTTATCGCTCAAGTACAATTGTACCTAGATAAATCAGAAAAATAAGTCTTAAGCCTGATAAGGGGTAGCTTTTAGTTATGATTTTTTTTTTGGTGTACAATGCCTAAATAATTTGTGCTTTTTAAAACATTAGTATTTGAGAAAAATAAGGAAGAGCAAGCTTTATCTGGGAAAAGCCAGTCAAGAAAGAGATTGGGGGTGCAAGGATGACATTGCTTGAAGTGAAGGGGTCATAAGCGATTTTATTGGCAAAGTTTCATTCCAATGGAACATGATGGAAAAAGAATCTAGTTTTTCAAGGTCAAAATAATTATACAAAAATGCTATATTTTATGATGTAAATTGATTAGCTTCTAAGCTTTGTATAATAATGATATTTTATTTGTAAAGCTTTATATATTAATGTTACAAGACTTTTTGAAATGGTGATTTGACATGAGCTGTGAGGAAAATGTAAATGGTGTCTTGCATTTGATGTATAAAAGTAATGTGATTGCTGGTTATTCTTTAATGTAAATATTATAGATGCTATACTTTTGTATGACTGCTTTATGAGCATGTTGAACTTTTTTTTTTTTTAAATTAGTGTATATTGATGTAACAGCTTCCTTAACTTCATATATGTCTAGACTTTATTTGCATTATCCTTAGATACTAGTAGATAAGCCATAATGTTAATATTATGAATAGAAGTTGATGTAAAACCAAATTTCTTTTATATTCAGGATACAGTACATTTCGTTTAGATATAGCAAAAAATATTATTGCATCCATTAATAAATTCAGTAACTAAGGAAATAAAAATGTTCAACTCCTTATACAATGTGTAGGGTAAAGTATTTTTCTGTAACTTTCGTAACTGTAAAAATTTCAAAACATGATGAATGCTTGTAAATAGGTAATATTTGATTGGGTCTTTTTCATTAATCATTTATAATCAGAATTGTTTATGATGTGTCTTATAAATGTTTTTAATAATTATACATTCAATATATTTTGCAAATGTATAAAACATTTTAAAATAACTTGATTATGATTGTTTCAACAAAAATTGTTCACATAATTAAAGTTTTACTGCATTTACATTTATTCATTTCTTGGTTATTTCTTTTTACACATAATTCTCATCTCTTCTTTAAATAAATCTACTTTAAGTCTACTTTAGACACTGATTCAGAAAGATTAAAAAAGTCTAAACCATTTTGTGCCTATACTGTAGCACTGTTAGCAACAGAATTTTTACATTACTGTATATTACAATTCTTATTAATTGCAAATAAACCAAATTAATAGCTTTAAAGTATTTAATTATTAAATATTTTGTTTTGTCACCTGTGAAAGTGATTGTTTTAATACATCAGAAAATTCTGTAGGCAACAAAAAAAAGTAATTTGTAAATCAAATAAACAAACTACAATCTGCCTCCAAAATTGTGGATTCTAAAAATTAAACCTGGATAACAAAAATTAATGAAGAAAACAAAGAATAGACAATTGTTATTTGAGATATATCTACAGCAAACATGAGAAGTTATAACTATGTAGTCATATATTTTGCTGCTTTTATCTAGATCTAATTTTTATTTATCAAACAAGGTTCTGCTTTTTATGAACTAAAAGATTTCTATCAACAATGTTTTGAATATTTTAGGCCAACTAATCTATCTATTGAGCATAATGTTTGCCTCACTATCCTATGCAGAGGTAACACAAAGAACTCTACTTTCCCTGCTCCGTGGACTGTATGGTTAAAAAAGGGAACTATTAATCTATTAGTGAACTGTATGACCTAATGACCAGCATTAATTGATTCACATCATTGATCTAATGTAGCCTACACATTCAAAATATTTTTAATTTTGCTGACAGACAATGACATATTGAAAGTTTGTTAAGATAATAGTTATTAATAAACCTTTTCTTCTTATTCGTTCTTAATTATTAGTGTTGAAGGGGATCGAGATTTATCTGCCAGTGGGTTTGAACTCGAGACTTTGTTCGAATTTATCAACCATGAGCTTTTTGCCGACTCGACCACGCCTCCAACACAAGCGGTACGTGTCAACTGGTTTTGCGCCATTGAGGCCATTGACTCCGATTTCAGCCTGCTTTTCTTTTTGGATTTGCTTCCATAGCCTTTGTCCAACCAAGAACAAACTACAAGGCAGCAGTTGTTTAATTTTGGAGTTGTCTCTCCTAGAAGAGTGGCTGTCCCCAGTTAACGAGCCTCATCTGCCCGAGGGTTCGAACTTGAGACTTTTCGGTTTAGCAACCATGAGCTTTACCGACTCGACCAGGCCGACCCCAATAAACCTTTTAAAACTGCAGTTTGCGATTTTTATTTGAATGGAATGGATTGTTATCTATATCTAAATACAAAATTAGAAATTTTATAATTAAAATATATCTATAATATTCTGTATTATTCTGTATCCCTTTAATTTTTCAGTCCAACAGTTTAATACTGTAGTTGATAGCAGTTTTAATTTTTATTTAGAGAAAATTTAATGACTATTTTATTTTGTGAGTTATTTAAAATATAAGAAAGCTCTGTAATTTAATATTTATTGAATATTTTTTTCTTGGAATATTTGGCCTATAGATAGATCTAGTGGCTACACTCTACACTCTTTCTACACCATAAAAAAAGATGTTCTCCATCATTTGGCATATTATTATATGCCTTATGCCTGTCAAGTTTCTAGTTTTGTTTTTATTAGTTTTATTTACCCTTACTTAATCTAATTGCATTTTTATTTATATTTGCGAGGTCAATTTCTATGTTGATCAACTAGCTTTTAACAACCGATGTTTTTGTATAAGTGAGTTCGAATGCACTCCACACTACAGAGCAGGTTATATAACTATTTAACTAGGTCAGACAGTTACGTGATTCACATCACCATACCGTAGGCTCTAGTATTTAGATTTAGGTCAGGGAATATCAGACCACAGAAAATTAACCAATGAAATGTAGCCGTTTAATATTAGTTACCGGGCGAGTGGGGGTTGCCCTGTGACGAAATATCAGCTGTTGTGGAACCATTGTGGTGTTTAGGGAATAAAATTTCGATGTATAGAACCTAATATCGCAAAATTCATTTTAAAGGGTTGAATATATTTGTATTTAAAATCATAAAATGCCTTACTTTTGTGTTGATTCCTAGATAACTGTGTATTATTATTTTAAAAACAGTATTAGATCTAGAATTCTTGATAGTGGAACTAAAAGTTGCAGCAAAACCTGGCTACAGGCTACACAATACCGGCATCGCTCATTGTTAAGTACACTTCTTCAAAATGGAAAATCTCACTGCAATTCTTCCTACTTCAGATCAATTTTTAGATTATTTACCAGAAAATCCTATTAAAGAGTCGTTTGCAAATGCGTGGATGTATATGACGAAAAATTACACCAAATTTCAAATAGCAACATGGGGTTCCTTGATACTTCATGAGGTAGGCATTCCTCCACTTTGAAAAAATATTTAAATTATAGATCTAGGCCTAATAATTATAATTAGGGCCCTAGGCCTATTAAATTATTAATTAATAATTAAAAATAGGCCCAATAGAATCTAGATCTAGATTTAAAGATAAGCCTAGATCTAGATCTAGTCTATCTAATAAAAATAAGACAACTGTTTTGGCCACTATAGGCCTAGGCCCTATTTAATAAATTTATATTAGGCCTAAACTAAAAAATAAATATTTAATTTATTAGGCCTAAATATTTATTATTTTTATTGTGAATTGTAGGGCCTATTTAAAAATTAATAATTATTTAGGCCCTGTTGTCAAATGTCATTTTATGATTTTAATTTAAGAAAATAAATTAGGGGCCTAACTAGATCTAGCCATAATTTTTAACTAATCTAGATCTAGAGATCTATACTCTATAGGGCCTAATCTAGAATTTAGAATCTAGATCTATCTCTAGAATCTAGATTATTCTAGATCTAACAAATAGCTACACTCTACACTTCACTACACTAGCTACTAAGCTAGAATCTAGTTGCTTATCTGCTACTATCTCTCTCTAGATTGGATTCTAGACTAGACTAAAAAGCTAGAAATCAAGATTCTAGATCTAATTATTCTAAATAGGCTAACGGCTAATACTGCCTATTAGGTCTAGAGAGCCCAATAAACACAAAACAATATTGCCAAATAAAATTAAAACATCTTACACCTGATCTATATTCTAGATCAACTAGATGTACCTAGATCCGCTAGATTATAGATCTTCAATTCTAGACACTGGAGTCTAGAGTGAGGCTAGCTAGATCTAACCTAATTAATCGCTACAGTTCGAGAAACAAATTTAATTTGATCCAAGGCTGTAACAGTAATAACATTGATCATGTGTAATACTCTAATTTTTCTTATTTCAAAGCAATTTTCACAATTGAAACAACTATAACTTAGGCCAGGGGTCGGCAACCTTTTAAGACGGAAGAGCCAAAAGTTACTATTTTCAAAATTTCCCAGTTTTTAAAGAGCCACTAACTTTTTTTTTCAATATTTGGTACTTGATTAGGATTAGGTAAATACATTCTATGTTACTTAAAATAAATACCCTTAAATATGAAATAATATTTATTCATATAAAAACATACACGTTTTGCCAGAATAATAAACTTAGTAATCAAATAATATAACTGTAGGACTATCTCAATCCACTTTAGAAGCTGTTAACTTTTTTTTCTTTCTTGACGGATATCCCCGGCCACTAGTCAGTCAGGCCTCAACGCTGCAAACTCCGACTAACTGGCTTGTATATCAGTTTGATTACCGTGTATCGGTCGCTTCTGTCCTTTGGTTCTCACCAGACTTATCTTCCACCCAATTGAACGCAGGGTAAACTCGTACCCCACCGTCCAGTACCCGGCTCAACAGTAGGAAGCTAATAACTAAAAAAAAACTACGTTACTCAAGTCGAATTAATGTTTACCAACAGATAGGAAAATGGATTCTGAATAAAACAACATTCCCCATTTAACGATATTCGAAAAAGTCGCCCTTGGACAGTGGCAAGCATGGAATTGTCGCCACGGGGCTGACCACAGTGCGGCTGTGCCTGGTGCCCAAGCGGCTGTGAGCTGTATACTCTCTATTGCACCTACTCTCATTGTTTACTGATGAGTGTTTTTATCCTGCTTAAAGTTGAGTTTTCTAATATTTGCTGCGAGTATTGAAAACGAAATAATATAACTAGTAATATATGTGAAAGGAGCTAGAGAGACGCATCTTGACATCAAAAGAGCTGCATGCGGCTCGCGAGCTGCAGGTTGCCCGCCCCTGACTTAGGCCTACACTATATAATAGTATAAGCCTATTATATAACACGAGCCGGCCCGCGGCATAACATACGCCGCTATTTAGTTGTTTCTAATTTTCAATAATTCATAATTTGTGAATTCGACAGTACCAACGCTGACACTGAAAATATTTCTTTAAAACACTATAAGTAGCTCGTTAAGGACCATAACCCCCCCCCCCCTCCTTCCCTCCCCCCCCTCCTCCCCCCCCCCCCCCCCTACGTTTAAAATCGTTGGCTCTGCTTGTAAACATTTAGAGTGAACACAGCTCACTAAAACCATGTAGGGGTGGGGAGGTAGGGAGAGCGTTTGCAGCTTGTTTTCTAACGGCTCGAAGAAGAGAATTATATATAGATAACTAGACTTCTTTTTTTTTACTCTAGGCCTATTTGAAATGCATGATTTAATCCATCCCAGCCCCCAAATTTTGACTAGATAATTAGCTGAGTGAAGACTACCTCACCTGTCCCATCAGTTGCCGGTTCAAAACCCAAGTCATCATTAATAGTCTTTTATATACAGTGCTTTCTTAGACATCCTAGCTCGTCTATGGTGGGGCATACCATTGGCATGTATAATTAATATAGTTATAGATGTATCTATGCCATAGAAAAAATTCAATCAAAGTGTTTGCTAGGGAAAAAAGTCACAAAGGAATAATTTTATCACAAAAAGTTAGAGAAAAAAGTCACAAATGTTTAGACCTATTACAAATATTTTGATTTACTTGTTGAGGATTATGGTGTTTAAATAACTGGTAGAAAAAATTATTGTAAAAGAAATGTAGGCTCACCGTTTTGTGTGGTTTTTTTTTTTTTTTTTTTGCAACAGCACACCTTTCCTCTGTTGAGGTTTGTCTGTCCACATTGTGTATTGTTGACGTTTTGCTTCAACTACACCCTTTGTACTGTCTTTTTTTTTGTGGCGAGTTGTGGACAACAAATCACATTAACTTATAACTATGACTTCTTCCCATTTCACTCTAATTCAGTTTTTTATTTAAAAACATTATAAAAACTTAGTTTGTTGGAACATTGTACTAAATTCTATTCTATAACGGAATTAAAACCTACATACTTCAGGCTAAATATTTTACATGAGGAAAACTTTTAACACTGTTTAAATTTTATTTTTCAGCTGGTTTATTTTGCAGCCTGCTTGCCCGGTATACTTTTCCAGTTTGTTCCTTTTATGAGAAGATTTAAAATACAGCAGGTAAATAACTGCCTATTATTTTTAGAATGAGTGTTGTGTTGTTTATATTATTTATAATTGAAAAGTAACATTTGATTTTGATCGGTGCAATGTGATTCTAATATTCTAATAACAGAATGTAGGTGTTTTATTTTTAAATAGACAGTTACAAGCCATACTTAAGTAGTGAGCCATAGTATGTGGTCTAGCTTATTTCTTACTATTTTGAATTACTTAATTATAAAGTACCTAATACAATGGACATTTTTGAAAACGTATTTTAACAGAATCGTCCTGAAACTTTTGAGGGTCAATGGAAATGCTTTAAACTATTAATGTTTAACCATTTTTGCATACAGGTTAGTATTTTATTTGATTGTAGACCTTTACAATTTTTTAAATGTAATTAGACTATTTTAAGAAAATTGTAATATGTCTGATCTCAGACATTTTTTAATTGGTTAACCCCCTTTTTTTTAGTTACCCTTGATAGCTGGTACATACGTGTTTACAGAATATTTCAATATACCATACGGTTGGGAAGAAATGCCTCCATGGTAGGTAATTTCTCTGCTACATCAAGTTTTTTTGTTCAGTTTATTATTTTAACTTAACCTTCTAAACTTGTTAAATCCTCTGATTGTTAATTAAATTTGAAAAGGTATTTTTAATGCTTTTATGAAATTGCAAAAATAATGTTTTTTAAAACACTTTTGTATTTCAGGTATAATCTTGCTTTGAGAGTGTTTGGTTGCGCTGTTATAGAAGATACTTGGCATTATTTTCTTCACTCCGCTCTCCATGACAAGCGAATATATAAATACATTCACAAAGTACATCATCAATATCAGGTACTTTATATGTTCCTTCTCAAACTTTCAAGGAATGGGTACTGCTTTTCCAGAATAATCTATAATTCTGGATTCAAGAATCATTTCTAAGATTAGCAAATTGAATTTTTATAAATTCTGGGTTTGCAGTTAAAAGAAACTCAAGGCCATTTAAACTTAGACAAATTGGACATTCTAGAAATCATTTTTATTATTAAAAAACTGGAGATTTCACCATTTGCTCAATTTGGCATATGCATAGGTGGTATAATATCCACTGCTATGTAAATCTAGAACTAATCAACTTAGGCATAATGTTATGAAGCTGCTAGTCTCATTTTCTTAGTTGACACTAGTACTTGGTAAAGGGAGAATCAGATTGAGAGAAAACCAATTAACATTCGGATGCAGTAGTCTTTTCTCCAGACCTAAACATTTATAAATGTATCTATGACCATTACCCAACATTGTGCCTATGTTGTTGTTTTTTTTTTTTGTAGCTTATTATAACTTATTAAATGGATTGTGCATGAACACAGACTTGTTTATATTTATCACTGGTTTACTAATGTTTACAAGTAGGATAACTATTTTAAAATTGCGAGTTATTAAAAACAACCCACAAAATTTTGCTCATGCTGACATTTCTAGAGCTTGTGATTACAATTAATAGTTAGTGATATCAACCACTATCTCAAATGTATTAAGGACCAAGTACAAACATAAATTACATGTTTTTAAGCTTGTGCTGACATGAACTTATGAACTTCTTCCACAATATTCCTTTTACATCATCATGTATCTCAATGGGGAGGGGTGAAATAAAAAATAGGACTTTAGATTTGTAATGCTGTTGTTAATAAATTAAAGCCCTGTGAAAATAGAGTAGGCCTACCCTGTAGCGCACATTTTAGTTTTAAATAGCATGACATTGATGAGTAACAGCCCTGGAGTTTTTTTGTTTTTTATTGTTTTAAATCATTAGTTAATAAGAAAAACTTCAGAAAACAAGACATAGCAATAGATTAAGTTGAGAGATATCCAATACTTTCATTTCAGTCTCCATTTGGAATGACAGCAGAGTATGCTCATCCTGCTGAAACTCTTAGTAAGTGAAATTACTCATCATTTATCATTTAGCCATCCACATCTATGCAGGCAGAATCTATATATGGAACCAGTAGGTAAACTACTGAATATCTGAAAGCATTAATTTATTTAAGATATTATCATAATATTAATTGACATGTAACATGGTAGCCTATATATTAAGGGCTTTAAGACTATGCCCAAGCATTTAATTTGACAGACTCAATAAGGTACACATTAGAGCTGTATTGTCTCCTCTCACACAGTATAAAAAATGTGAAGGACTATTCACTTTTATTTGTTACTGTCACCTTAACATTGGCACAGGCCAGAATTGATCATGTGGGGATAATTTTTGAAATATATATATGTAAAAGTAAAGATTCCTATTTAGACCTAGCGATCTATTGGTCAGATAAAGTAGAGTTCATATGTTTCTTGACCTTGATGTATAATGGGATGGTGTGTTTAGCACAATACCCAGTTGCCTTTTCTTTCCCTAACCAACTGTCACACATAAAGCGCACCATTGCCAATAGCTGTAACTTAATGTAAAACAACTTTTAGGTTGGGATATCAAAGTGACTCAGTATTTTTATTTTTAGTTATGTGCTCTATGGCTAAACCTCTCTGTCCCACAGATGTAGTACTGTCTCAGCCCAGGCTCATCTGTCTAAAAGTTTATTTAGATTAGTTGATGTTTGAGTGTTATACCTTTGAAGTGTACATTGTTACTATAATAATACCAATTTTATTTATCCTACATGAACAATTTTTTAAATGGAATTTAAAAAAATAAATAATATCAGTTTTAAAATAGTATCCTTTAGTCTCTAGTTTATTATAATCATCATTGTCTTTGCAGTTCTTGGCATGGGATTTTTCTGGGGCATCTTGCTGCTTGCAAACCATGTGATTCTGTTATGGCTTTGGGTGACTGTTCGTCTGTTTGAAACAATAGATGTCCACAGTGGCTATGATATACCTTATCTGAATGTATTTCACTTAGTTCCCTTTTATGGAGGTGAGTTTTACTGTTTGTTTTCTCTGCTTACATTGAAAAGTTAGGTGTAAGATTTCATGAACTAGTTATCAATTGTGAAGAATTTTAACATTTGTTATGTTTAATTATTTAACAGGTTCCAGATTTCATGATTTCCATCATTATAACTTCACTGGAAATTACTCTTCTACATTTACTTGGTGGGACAAAATTTTTGGTACAGATCGTCAGTTCAAGGAATATTATAGTAAACTTGAAGGCAAGAAGGAAAAAGATCAGTAAATTTCAATCACCTACACTTTGTTTGATACAGACCAAAGTTTGCCCTTGGTTATAGGTGTAATAGTACTACACCAAAAAATTAATGAATTTTTAAAAAATTTCTTGTTTAGTATAACAGCTCAATTTGTTAATTTCTGAATCATATTGCTGTGTCGCAAAGATTAAAAATAATACTAAGTAACATTGTCATATTTTGAGTGAACATTATGTTCATTAGTCGCATTTTACAAACCTTGACATAACTATTTCTCAACTGCTCTATTTTGGTACTATGATTTTTATCACCCAGAGATAGGTCTTTTTTTTTTTTTAACTTTGCCCTACCTCATCGGGCTTGCAGGTACTCATCAATAATCCTTATCCAATTAAAGGTTTTTTAAATTATATTTCAAGTTCCATTTGCTAGTTATATGTGTACTGAATAATCTTGAGCTAGTCTTCTGCTAATTTTTAATATCATTGTACAAAAGTTTCAATATTAAAATATGAAAATCTGTGTTGTAAGTAATTGTTGCATGCTATATTATTCTGCTATGAGCAAATGATTTTTTTTTTTTTGCTGTGATTTTAAAGAATGTAATTCAACTTAATTTTTTTTAAATGACTTAATTATATATGATTACCTATCAACTTCTAACATCTGATAAAATTTTGAAATGATGGGAATGAGTTCAACATCAACTTAAAATTATATTTTACTGTTTTAATATTAAAACAACTGATTATGTTTATTTATACCATACATTATGTGTATGTGTGAATGTATATACTTGTTTGTATATATTTTATTATAGTATAGGTACCTAATTGAAAAGGTGTATAGATTATCATATTTTTCCAATCAAAGCAAATGCACCTTCTGTTCAGACTTATGAATAAATATTTTATTTCTTTACCAATGTTCTAACCAGGTTATCCAGTAAATGAGAGCATAATAGGTGTTTTTTTTAAAGTTAAGGCAAGAGGTAGTAAGGTTAAATTTAAGTTTTTATTTAAGCTGGTGTTTTATGGTTTTCTTTGGTAGAACATTTAAATTAACTTTATTTACAATATTTGCCAGAAGTGTTAAACCACTAAGACATGATCCTGCAATAAATTTTTAGTTTTTTACTCTGATTTGTCTTATGTCAAGATTTTTTTCCCCAATGTAATTTGTCTGTTTTTCTATGCAAAAATATTTTTTTGTCAAAATCATTGATATGTCTAGCCTTAATTCAATTTAAAGACCTTGCATTACACACACACAATTCGATGAGAAAAACAAAGCTTTTACTTTTCCCCAATGGAAATTAATTTTACAAGTACAAGGGAGAGAACACTTAACTAAATCTAATTTTTCTTTTTTTGTTTTCTCCATCAATTTAGTAAATTTGCAAAAATATTTGGACAACATTGTCAATAATGAAGGAGATGCACCACTGAAATCAAAACATTCATCTCAACAGCAAAACATGCATCTCAACAGCAAAACAAGCATTAGCAACTATGCAAGAAACATGGCAGTCAAAGACTTTTCAAAAGAATGTCCTTAGGGTCCCTCTGTATGACGGAATGTTAGAAAGCAACCACCGAGAGTAAAAATCTTTTAAATCCATTCCTTTTCTAACTTTGCATAGAAGCTTCTCCACGCAAGGATATCTAGAATGGGTCGGTAACACATCAAAATGCTCAAGGTGACGCCCCGCCATAACAGTCCATGAGAAAACTACCCCAGACTAGATTGACCGAGTCAAAGTAGCCACAACAAAGTTACGTCGGGAGGGGGGGGGGGGGCGACGAAAAAGGCTCCCACAATAGGATTGCGGACAAAAAAGTCGACATGTTCGCTAATAATGGGGACGGTGTTACATGACACTAGGAGGTGATATGATAAACGTTGGTCGGACAGGGGCGCAAGTGAGTAAATAATGGGACACTTTTAAGTAGGTCTTACTTTAGACCTACTTATACCACTGAACGAGATGCAACGTATAGCATACATTAATTCATGCAACAAACTGAACTAATTCTATTAATATTCTCTGAGATATAGGCCTACACGAAAATAAAATGTTCTAGTCAAGTAGGTTGACACAATGCATCTCTTTAGGGGGAGAGGGAGTATTCACCCTACCTAATGAAAAAACAAAAAATCCACTTTGAGATTTAATCTTCAAGTCAATAGCAACTTGCCCTTGAAAATTTTAGGCCAACCTCCGCACCCGCACACACACACACACACACATAAGCCAATAAGTGGGCTATACATTGTCAGTTTTATTCTATCTGTGGGGGGTAGGTTAATGTTTTTAAAAATATTCCACAAATGTTGAAAATTCCCAATTAAACGAGGTCTCGCATTTTTTACGATCTTCCCCCCCTCCCCCTCCCCCCATCTCAACTTCGTCGCACACCGGCACAAAAAAAAACCAGAACAAATGACGTCACACCTCAGCATACAACCCCCTTCAAAATTGCAGTTGAATTTTAAAAAAAAACTAAAAAAAATCTATATTTTTCTAAAAACTTCACTGAGTTCGGTCAACATGGAATATTTCAATCAATTTCTATTACAATTTATTAAAACAGTTTTTTAAAACGCGAAATAACAGCTAAAATTTGTTTTGTAACATTATTTTGTATAATGCAAAAATTTGACATCACACTATCTGACCCCCTCCTCCTAATGACACACCGGCAAAAAATTACGTCCCCCCCCCCCCCTCCTTCCCCTACGAGTAGAGCGTCACTTTGAACGACCCCAGTGAGGGTGTAAAGACATCGCGTTCATTTGATGTAATAAAAAAAAATTGCTGTGATGAAAAGCTCAAGTTAACTTATTTCAGAGTTAGGCTATAGCTTATGCTAATTAAAAAAGGTGGACGGAAACAGAGTTTCTTCCAGGCATCTCTTCGGGGGGGGGGGGGGGGGCAAAGCCCCCCCCCCCCCCCCGAACATTTTTTACCGCCCCCCCCCCGAACGAAATGAAATTTATATAATTTATATAGAAAATGTGTACTTTTAACAGTGTCCGCCCCCCCCCCCGAAAAAAGTCTACCGCCCCCCGAAAATTTCAAGTGCCCCCCCCCCCCCCCCGGAGAAAAAAGTCTGGAAGAAACACTGGACGGAAATTCCCAAATTCTTTTGAATTAAGAATTTCTGTCGTTTAGTTATGCAGAGTTTCTTTCAGGCATCTCTTCAAATAGGAAGAGGAGTGCTCCTCTCGCCAGTCCACCGCCCCTCCTCTCCTTCGGAGAAAATAAAAGAGAATATACTCAATTTAGGCTGTAATTTAAACAGAAAATATATAGATCTAGTGTGTGCGCCTCGTCCCTCGAAGGATAAGTGCGCCCCCTCTCGGAAGTTGCAAATATCCCCACCCCTCAGGAGAAAATGTCTGAAAGAGACACTGTTGTTAGCAGTTACGACGTGAGACGAGACGATAGATTAGAGGGCTGGGTGAAAGGTGGCTAAAATAAAGTGACGTCATTTATGAAGGCACATTACTCGACTGTCTCCACTGTGTAGGCTATCTATAGTTCTCTGTAGAACTACTTTATTGGTATGAAAATGAATGTTATCTTTATTATATTATTTCGATCATTAAAAAACACATAGATCTACATATTAAGGACGAATCATAATTAATGAAAATATTAACGACAGCTAACCCTAAACATAATATAAAAATCAAACCTTAAAAAGTCAATCAATAGCATTAGCTTGTGATGTCATGTTTGAAGAGTTCTTTTTCCTGTGACGTCATTCATCAATAGGCTGCCATTTTCTTCCCCTCTCTCACTCTGTCAATGATGTACTATGTTGTTCTTACGAGAATATGTTTTAGAAAATTGGTTGAAATTTTTGTAACAGGTAGGATGATTAATTTAAGCTTAAAGATGTACTTAACGTTTTTTTATTATTATATTGCCCAACTGAAGAGAAGCACGTTTGATATTGTGCTTGTTGTTTTTTCTCTGTCTCACTCAACTACTCAACTCTCAGCAGTGGTTGAGGTTGGTTCTGTTTGATTCTTGCTTTGGGAAACTTAAAACTCTAAAATTAACTTAAGACTAGTGTAGACTAGATCTAGAGATCTCTCACTTGGCAAAGGCCAAGGTTTAATTATTTTTAATTTAGTGTGCTGCTCTTACTTGCCACTGCAATGAATGAACTAGACTAGATCTAGATCTAGATCTAATGGACACGAGCGAGAAAACTCTCAAAGGTATTTGAGAGGTGTATAAATTAGTTTAAAAATCATGCACAGCGTAGTTACAATTAATATGGTTATAAAATCCTGTCTATCTGGTTTTTTTCGGACTTTACTTAAGATTGGATGTATTTGATGTTTATAATATTTTCGGTAACTAAATAAAAATTTAAAAAAAAGCAAAAACAATTTGGTTTTCACGTGTAATGGCGACATAAACAATGGCATCCTGCTATTGGATAGGCCATCATTGATTTTATTGTACACATTGTAAGCTAAAAATAGAAAACTAGGTCATGGGGTTTTTAATTTGCATTGTTATTTAAAAACTTGATCTGCAAAGTTTTGTAAACAAATAGTTATCGATCACTAAGTTACTGTACAGCCAATCAATATTTGTCTTACGAAAGTGAAACATCCGGTTTTAACTTAGGCTTGATGAAAATAAATAGAAATGTAGCCTTAAACTCAACAAATTATTTTCAAGTTCTCTGGATTTGCAACTTTTATAGCATTTATTCTAAAAATATAAAATTTCTAAATTAATTTTAGGCTTAAGTTTTTATTTTTTATTTTTTTTTACGGTCTAAATCTTAAAAAGCACGTTTTTATTCCATGTCAACAACATTGGGGACGGAATCTCGTCAACTCGCTCGCCTCCATTCTCTGCCTCTTTTTTAGTCAAACAAAACAATTATTAAAATGGACAGCAGTAGGTCTCTAACACTCTTTTATTAATGGGAACTCTCTAGCTGTCTCTGACTTACCTTAAGAATCAAGATTTTTAGACAGTCTACTGCATTTACTGTTTACTGATTCTTGCTTATAATTTTGACGCAACTTTATGTATAATTATGTATGATTGGTAATTTCAATTTGGTATGTTCCACCCTTTCTTGTGATAGACATAGAGTGTTTGAAAATTTTCTTAAACTTAAACAAGGGGTGGGAGAATGTTTACACCATTGTCCGATAATGGAATCTTCTTTAAAAAAGGGGTGTTTGGTTACTGGTAGTTAACTAAATACACACTTGGCTGGCTAATGTGCTAACCCTGTCCCTAACCTCAACCCTGGTCCAACACACCTTTTTTAAAGAAGATTCCATTATCGGACACCGGTATCTACAATCATCCAATTTATTAGCCTATAGGTGTACTGTTATTGTAGTCTCTATCTCAACACAAGACAGATAATGAGATAATCTTAACTTCTTAGGCCTAAATATTAAATAAGACAATATTTTCTAATTTTACTTTGGGGGGGGGGGGGTGTTACTGCAAACACTGCTCAACAAGTGTTGTAAACTTTTACTGCAAATGAATCTTAATGTGAAAATATAAAGAAATGATCTTCCAATTCTAAGCCAGAAAAAATTGTTTTGTTTTAAGGAATGCTGATTTGTCATAGTGATTTCTTTCTTTGTTTTGAGGCAGATGAAGTAGAATGCATCTGTTTCTATGACTTTGACATACGAAGGGATAGTGTAGTCAGCACTATGCCCAGCCACCTTTCAACTTTGTTTCCCTTACATGAGTCAGGTACCCATCAGAGCTGGGTGGACTAAGGAAGGTCCTGCACTCATGAATCACTCAAAACTCAAGAATACTGGGCTAGCAGTCAAACAACCATTCAACCATACTGTCCCCAATTTCTTTATTAATACTAATTAATAATTATAGGCCGGTTGTAAAAAAAAACTTTATCAGAGTGGGTTGATGACCCATTTCCAGTTCGACACATATTTCCAATAAAATTAAAATAATGAAACCTAATATTGTTACTAATAATATTTTTGGAAGAGTCCACTGGTGGATATTAATACACCAATATTATTTTGTTTGGACTAAGTGTGTCCACATAAGTTTGCATTAAGTAACTATGTAGGTGGCAGGTGATGTACAACAGATACACCTCTTGAACAGCTGCTATTACATTCACTTCTTAAGTATGAAGTTATCGTAGCCTATTAATTTATCATAAGTGCTTTGTATGTTGATTTTGGTGTAAGTAATCCATTAGAATATTATCAAACGCTTGCCTTTATTTTAATTGGCAAGGCTAGCTTCATAACTTAATAAACTTTGTTTTCCACAATAAGTAGTTGAGAGATATAGCACTTGTTTCTGGTCATGGGTAGGTTGAATTAGAATAGTAAAGAAGTCAGTGGTAGTGCATCAGGAGGGAGTTGAACCCTGATTGTCTGCTTAGAAGGCAACCATGCTAAACTTAACAGCACTTTTGCAACAACAAAAAAAGACACTTGTGTAGAAAAGCAATTTTTACTGCCAACCTATTTGCCACATATTTATTTTAAAAAAAATTAGCATAAAAAAACATAACAATTAGAACAAGACCATCAAGTTTTCTGAAAACACAAGATCCAGCCAAGACAACACTCTAACAACACCAGCAGCATTTTCTGTTGGTTTCCTATTTCTGCCCAAACCTATCAGTAATGTTTTATTTGGCCTTTGTTTATTTTAAAACTATATAAATTAGGGTAATATATGTATAGGTCACTGGAGCAGGTGAACTCTACTTCACCTGCCCCATGGATTAAAAGGGTGCTTATAATTGAAAAAAATTAGGATAATGTAAACATTAGTTGGTCTTAAGTCTAAATTTTACTGTATGGTGATGGAGGTTCTGCAAGCTATCCAACTTAGAAAAAGTAACTGTGTTTTGAGTGGTCAGTTACATCATTAATAATCTTGAAAAAAAACCTGTAACAATGGTTGAATGGATTGTTTTTTACATTATAATGACTATTTATAAGTTTTTATTTAGCTCACAATGTACTTGTGGCAAATCTTGTGACTCAGTTTAGATCAATTTATAATGGGAAGATTCTGTAAAAAATTTCCAGATATGGTCTGTGATGACAATGCAATAATATCTAATTTTGTATCCAGTTAGGCTTTAAGTTAGTCATTAAATATAATTTTAAAAATTACTAAATTTAGTTTAAAAAGGGGAGAGACAAGATTAAGTACTAGCCAATGGTTTTGAAGTGTTTGTGATGGGTGGATGATAAATACTGACAGCCAACCAGACTAAGATGGAAGTTATGAGATAGCAAGCTACTGATCAGGTTTTATTCATATATATTGTCAACTTCATAAAAATTCACAACAATAAAGTTTTTTTTTAAATTTTAAATATTGTGTTACTATTTTAATTTTAAAGTTTCATAATTATTTTTTAAAAAAAGTAGTGAATAAAGCAGGTATAGAATACGTTTACTGTAATAATCTTTTAACTGAATTGAAAAAACACATGTTAATTAACTTGCTTTCTTTAAATAATAAAATGTGTAATAAATTTCATGAACAACGAATATTTTTAATATAGAAATAAAAGTGTTTTATTTTCTCATTTTCAGTGCCTTTTAAAGCTTATTATTATAAAAAGCTTTTTCTTATATATTTTTTAGCTGTACTGTACTTAACATACTCTGATGGCCAGTTATTATTATTAAATGCAAACTTATAGGATGACCCATAAATTTCATCACTAAGCTAGCTTAGTAGATCTTTGAATTTGTACTTTTCGTAATAGTAGAGCTGAAAGAATTTAACTAGTTTACTTTGTATCATAAAGCCATTCAGTTGATGGTTATTGTGTCATATTTTACAGGTCTATTTAATTTACGCAATTACATCTCACTTATTATATGTTGGCTTAAATTTTTGTTTATTTTAATGACATGTTTTGTTATGTGTATCAAACACTTTTTAAAAAGGTTGGAACACAATGACTCTTTACTTTTTATGTACGGTAATCACATAGTTGGGTGAGCACATTCAAGCCTATTTTTGGTCATCTTTATCTGCAACTATACCCTCAGTAGTGATGTTTGTAAGCTATTTTATGTTTAAGAACCATAGTTTTCTTTGTTAAAAAAATAGAATTTCATTTTCAGGTTTGACACAGATCACTAGTGAAATCAATTTCACACTGTGAATGCATTTTTACTGAGATCAGCATATTGTTGTATATTTGTCTCATCAAAATTTAGAGAATTTCTCCTCCAGCAGAAATTGAACTGGTGAGTTCTTTTCATTCTTAAAGTGTTTGGATTAGCTAAACTCTTCATTTAGCTATTGGGCATTATGTAAATCTCTTGCTCTCTGTTGCCCTCACACCCCCCCCCCCCCCATTTATGTCACAACATATTTTTGATGTTAGATGGACACTAAATTTAGTGTTTTAATTCCTCCTCCTCCCCCCCCCCCCCTCCTTATGTTACGTTACTCATGTCCTTTCCTCCAATGTGTGAACATTAGATGCAAACCTTACATAAGATGTAAGCATAGTTCCCCTTTGACCAGATGGGAAGATGGAGCTGAGCTAGGCATAAAAAAAGATAATGTGGTCAGCACTATGCCCAATATTAGTCAGATATCATCAGAGCTGAGTGGACTCACATATGTCCTACTACATCAGTCTTAAAAACTGAACTGTATTTGATACTTTGAACATAATTGGTTTCTGGTTGTTTCAAAAACTGGAAATTTATTGAATTTATTATGTAGAGGTATACCCTAATTGTTAGAGTGGTTACTGATTAAGCTACCCTACCTGAAATAGCTTCTAAAACCTGCCTGGTGGTTGTCACTTAAATGAGTTTCAAAGATTGCCAATACCTCTAGATTGTGAGGCAATCCGAATGTGATAAATTATGTACACCTTAGGCCTGGGTGAGCAGTTGCGCAAGACTAACATAATGTGGGGGTGTGAAGCGTGAGTGTGACCTTCGACCTAGCTCCCGAAGGTCCTCTAGATTTGCAATGAAAATTGAAGTCAACTTACAATTATCTTTCCCTACAAAAAGCTTCCTCTTCTCACCCTCACTAGCTCGGGCATATTGATTTCAGATTTCATTTTTAAATTCTTCAAGAATTTTTTTTTTGGTACATGGATGTTTTTACACTTAAGTATATCGAAACGACCAAACTATCTATTGAAGACTTTACGAACATTAGGAAAAAGCATTTAAAACCAGGACTGAGCTGTAGTTAAATGAACTTAAAATGTCCTCGTTTAGAGGTGGGCCCATTGTATCAACGTGTGCTAATCTAGCAGTCCGTATCAATCGTCCCCCGTACAGTGGCCTCCTGTGACCGCTGCTTGGTGTGGCTGGCATCTGCTGTGTCAAACGGTAAAGCCGTGCTGGTCAAGTTGTCGGACTGACTAGCTGAGATGAATCGATCCGATGAACCTGTGGGGTAACATTACCTGCATGCTTGCTGCAGGACTTGTACACCAGATAGGGACTCACCGGTAGCGACACATGTCGGCTTGTTGCTGATGGATAGTTTTTTTTTCTAAGACTATTTTTAGAAGCTGTAAACCCGTGTCTAATTGTGTGAGTTGTTCAGTGGTTAGAAAACTGCTCGGTCATTTGTTAGTCGTCGCTAACGTGCACATGTGTATAGCTCTAAAGTTACATTATGAGGGTTCAAGGTCTTTCCTCGGCCACCGCTGTGCTTCTCCATAGCTGTGTTGACGTGCTGTAGTTATATGTTCGTGTACTATTTTTAAAGAATAGAAAACTAGGCGGGGGAGATGAAGGTTGATGTGTAAATATCAGGTTTTGTCTGTTATCTTTAAGTACTTTACCAGGCGGGTGTTTCTGTTCACTAAGTAAGAGCAGGACATTTACATATCGCAACAACTACACACCCTTTTTTGTGCTACTACTTATGAAATCCTTTTTGTCAATGTCTTTTTTTTTCACCTGGTCGTAAAACGCTTTCATACTTCCTTTCAGCGGTAGTCTATATACTGTGTGTTTAATTCTGGGAACGCCCTAGTGGCCTAGAGTAGAGAGTAACTCAGAGCATGTCGTTTTTTTTGTGTACACGAGATTAGTAATTTGTGTTTAGGGCGTGTGCATTTTAAAATTCCTAAAACATGGTCGCGGTAGGCTCGGATAGACGGAATGCCCATTGGACGGGCATTAGATCTGTTTTTATTCGATGACATTTGGAGTAGATCCTTGTCTCCGCCAGTTGCCGATCTTGAAGTGTAGGTAACCATCTCACCTCGATGTTTTATTTCAAGCTGGATCATTCGAGATATACCTCTATGTGCTTGACATTGCTCAACTCATTTAGCCTTCTTTTAATCAATAGTTTGCACTAATAGGAGACACTTGTGTTAGGGCGTGGGCTTACAGTAGAAAGGTTGGCTTTTCTAACTGATAAATCGTTAGGCTTCTGGAAGTGTAGAATTAGTAGAAACGTATGTCGTGGCATTTCATGCACACAAAAAAGGTGCTGATTAATAGTTTATTAAAAACGAAACACTTAGTAATTAGGCTGTTTTTTTTTGGCGCTATTGTTTTGATTCACTGTACTGATGAGTAGTGTCACACGTGTTAAATGACGATCATGTTCCTCCTATCAAAGCGTGTGTGCGATTGTTATGCGGGTGCCAGCCAGCACTGGCATCGTTGAATAGCTATATGCTATTGTCATTGATTGTTTGCTGCTAACGACAGCATTATGGTGGCATGAGGAGGTGTATATATTTTAAATTCTGCCTATAAAAAGCACCGAGATTAAATGATGAATGGAGCAATGCACGCTGATATAGCCTCAGCTAAATATGCTGCTTGGTTGATTCTTCGGCATCCATTGATTGCTATAGCAACAAATTTTATTGCAACATACTCCAATATTGACGTCAGTCATCTCGTTAATGTTTCGCAATCCCCGCGTGTGCCCGTGTCTGTCGATAGTTCACTTCACTGGTCTTTTAGAACCATTTGTTTCTTTGTCTTTGAATGGCTGGCTGTGTACGCTGTTAGATTTTTAAAAAAAACCTTGTCGACTAAGGGCGGAGTCGTGTAGCCTATCTTTATTTTCTAATGTTAGTGTCAGCACGGTTGATGTAACTCGATAGATAGTGTGTAGCATTTTCCCTTTCTCTAGTGGCTTCTCCTTTCTATAAGATCGTGGTAATTAGGAGAAAATACAATCTCTATTCGTTTTTATTTATGAAAGTATACAGAATTACTTTTAATTTAGTCATCGAATAATTTTAACGAACCGTAATATATATATTTATAGTTCATACACCTCTCTGTATATTTATGATATAGATCAATCACAATATATCTTTAAAAAAAAGTTAAGCGTATCACAATCAAAGGCTTGAATGTGCCTATTTTAGTTACAGTTCTATTATTGTACAGCTACGAAACACTACTCCCACTGTCTATTTTATAGACCACCCTCCACTTAGAAAACTGTTGAATTAATGAGGAAAATATCGGCTGATTGATTTGTCTATCGATCTATGACCTTTTGAAAGTTTGTTCCTTTTTTAGCCTGTGACGTAAATATTAGCGTCTAACCTATCTCGTGTCTGTATCCTCTGTCTGTACTCGTGTGTCTTATCCTCGCATGTCTATAGCCTCTCGTGTGTCTTATCCTCGCATGTCTATAGCCTCTCGTGTGTCTTATCCTCGCATGTCTATAGCCTCTCGTGTGTCTTATCCTCGCATGTCTATAGCCTCTCGTGTGTCTTATCCTCGCATGTCTATAGCCTCTCGTGTGTCTTATCCTCGCATGTCTATAGCCTCTCGTGTGTCTTATCCTCGCGTGTCTATAGCCTCTCGTGTGTCTTATCCTCGCATGTCTATAGCCTCTCGTGTGTCTTATCCTCGCATGTCTATAGCCTCTCGTGTGTCTTATCCTCGCATGTCTATAGCCTCTCGTGTGTCTTATCCTCGCATGTCTATAGCCTCTCGTGTGTCTTATCCTCGCATGTCTATAGCCTCTCGTGTGTCTTATCCTCGCATGTCTATAGCCTCTCGTGTGTCTTATCCTCGCATGTCTATAGCCTCTCGTGTGTCTTATCCTCGCATGTCTATAGCCTCTCGTGTGTCTTATCCTCGCATGTCTATAGCCTCTCGTGTGTCTTATCCTCGCATGTCTATAGCCTCTCGTGTGTCTTATCCTCGCATGTCTATAGCCTCTCGTGTGTCTTATCCTCGCATGTCTATAGCCTCTCGTGTGTCTTATCCTCGCATGTCTATAGCCTCTCGTGTGTCTTATCCTCGCGTGTCTATAGCCTCTCGTGTGTCTTATCCTCGCATGTCTATAGCCTCTCGTGTGTCTTATCCTCGCATGTCTATAGCCTCTCGTGTGTCTTATCCTCGCATGTCTATAGCCTCTCGTGTGTCTGTAACCCCTTCCCCGCCCCCAGCCGTGTGTGTCTGTATCCTCGTGTGTCTGTGCCCTCTGTTGTGTCTGTACCCTCTGTTGTATCTCTATCCTGTTATGTGTCTGTAACCTCTGTTGTATCTCTATCCTGTTATGTGTCTGTATCTCGTGTGCCTGTACCCTCTGTTGTATCTCTATCCTGTTATGTGTCTGTACCCTCTGTTGTGTCTCTATCCTGTTATGTGTCTGTACCCTCTGTTGTATCTCTATCCTGTTATGTGTCTGTACCCTCTGTTGTATCTCTATCCTGTTATGTGTCTGTACCCTCTGTTGTATCTCTATCCTGTTATGTGTCTGTACCCTCTGTTGTATCTCTATCCTGTTATGTGTCTGTGCCCTCTGTTGTATCTCTATCCTGTTATGTGTCTGTACCTTCTGTTGTATCTCTATCCTGTTATGTGTCTGTGTCCTCTGTTGTATCTCTATCCTGTTATGTGTCTGTAACCTCTGTTGTGTCTCTATCCTCATATGTGTCTATATCTCGTGTGTCTGTACCCTCTGTTGTGTCTCTATCCTGTTATGTGTCTGTACCCTCTGTTGTGTCTCTATCCACATATGTGTCTATATCTCGTGTGTCTGTACCCTCTCGTGTTTGTTGTCGTGTCTGTAACCCACCCCCCCCCCCCCCGTACGTGCGTGTTAGTCTGTATCCTCGTGTGTATATCAGTGACGTAGGCAGGAAGACTAGCGGGCGGGGGTGGGTTAGACCTATCGGACAACTACGGTCTGGTAGATCTTGCATTTAAAAAAAAAAAATTAAAGGACACTACACCACGATTTAACCTTCTTAAAATCATTCTATAGATAACATACATGCAATATGGGGGAAATTCAAACCTCCCCCGTAAGCATATACCTGCACGCGCGACTGGTGTATGTCATCAATAATTTATAACTCACCTGCGCTAAACATTCCTGTTTCCTTCCAGTTCAAAACGGGTGTCTAAACACAGGTGATGGAGTCCAGGCAACTCACCTCAACTATGTTTCATACAGCCACTACATTTTTGTTCATACATTTGCTTCTTAAAACTTGAGTGTACAACTGCGAGGGTATTGGTATTCAATTTTTGTGTGTGGATGCTTTCTTGGAATTTAGTGAACGAACCGGAAAATATTGATTCGTGCGTGTCACATAATTTGTTTCAGATTGATACAATCAAAACTGAAGAGATTTTCCCAGCGTTTCTTATCATCTCTGTTGAGTAGCTACAGCTCAAATTTCGAACCGTTAGACTTGTTTTTCTACACACACTGTAAATCACATTGGCGTTTTATGGCAACAGCCATGCTATTGGTGTTAATGACGACAAACTCAATACTGTTTTATCTAGTTTAGAACAAAAGACATTAATTAAAACCAGCGTTACGAACTGATTTCAGTTTAAAATACCAACCAAGAGTACGTCTAAAAAAGATTGACTCAGTTGCCCTTGTTTTACTGGTGTTTTGAAGCGAGTATCTTATCGTCGATGTGTAGGGTTGGTGTGTGACAACCAAGTCCAATATTATTTTCAGCTCTAGGAGAAAAAAAAATACTGGAAAATCACAGGTGTTCTGTTGCCTGGTCGACTCTATTCTTTAGTCACACCCAGACTAATAGCTAAAAATGTCGCTGACCTAATTATCAACGTTGCCGTAATTGATTTTTTTTAAGTTTAAAAAAGTCCAATACGTTTTTAGATTGGATTTGTTTGTTTGATTACATTTTTTTGGCATAAAGCAACCCGACATAAAGTCGACATTAATCACACACAGGTCGTTGCCTTGTGTACAGTCCACCTATCCCTCCCCCCTCGCTCTTACGTACCACGTGGTCCAGCAGACTGTGTTGTTATGATAAGACATCTCGTAGGGTAGGCTTACCATGGAGATGTGTTGTCTACACACACCAATACTGGAATGCCGACTGGTCTAGCTTGAGATGAACCGGTGGTCCACACCTTGTAGTGCTATATCCCTGATAGATGACCGTAAGATTGTCAGTGGTCGCTAAGTAAACATGTGTAGCAGGGAGTACAACACATGCCTTTATTGTTTACACAATAAACCTCGACTAGGATGACTTACGCTGATAAGGAAGAGGTAAATGCCGCCAAATGGCAAAATCGGGTCCATCTCGAACATTATACTTTTAACCACCGTTTGTTACCTTTTAATAAACAGTAACTGCCATACATGTCTGTCTTTAGGTATTAGTAGAGTAGGCTTAGGGGTCAGATATTAATGATAGGCACACTTAGCCTGAAAAACGTCCTTAACCAACCAATAAAAGAAAAAAAAAATTGACACATGGGCCAACAACCATTGCCAGTAAAAGTGTAATTGTATAGATAATTTGTGATTAAAATAATAAAACATGCCAGCCACCCATTATGCAAGTTATATTCTGAAACTTTCCATGGTAGACATGAAAGTAAATGTTCTTGCTTTAAAAAAGTGGTTTTGCTTAAATAATTGCCAATAAGACAATGTTGGTATGAAATAGATGTTTATGGTGGAAAAGAGACATATGGGGCTCCTCAGAGCATGTGGTTCTAGAACAGCAGCTTACAGACTGTAAACATTGGTCAAATACAGCACTGGACTTAAAGCTCAGGGCTCCTAAGTATTTTCAATTTTGCTGACTTGTTATATTCTTTCTACTTTTTTCCTTTTATATGGATGGACAACACAATCATAAACTCTGCCAGCAACCTTTCCATGTTTAGGGCTTCTTAGCTCAGGACTAACAATTTAACAGTGCTTGTAAAAACCTGATTTAATTTTTGTTTTTATAGTACCACTACCCTTGCTATAACCTCCAACCCATCCATGTCTTGAAACAATCCCCCACCTAACCACAGCAGCAGAGCAACCATTTAGGTAAACTGTAATACAATATTTAGATATGCTGTGGAGCTCATTTTCAACTCAATTGTAAATGTTGATTATTTATTTATATTAGTGCTTTATTTAACATTCATTGAAGCAGTTTCATTGACAGAACCCAATGGCAGATAGTGACAGGAGATCTGCCAAACTTCACAAACAATTAGAAGTTGAAGATTATGGGGAAGACGATGAAGTAACTTCAAAATCCTCTTGCTCAACAAGGGCAGTTAACAGTTCACCAGTTTGTGGCGGTTAGTTCTCTAAAACACAGTTTTATTAGTTCAGCTGTTTTTTTATTCCAAAATTTATTATCAACTAAATTTTTTTTTTAAATTCAAAATTGTATACAGTTGCATAGACCTTTAAACACTATTACCCAGGTATGCCAACACCCACTGTTCAGTCAGCCAGTAGCTCTTCTGGAACTTCACCTGATGAATCAGAAAAAAAACAAGTTATGCCTGTATGTAATCAAAATATTTGTATAAAGTTTAAAAAGTTGTTAAAAGTAAATAATTATAGGTCAATAGAAGGTAATAATTTAGTGTCTAAATTTTTTTGTTAAAAAACTTAACAAAACAATGTTTCTCTTTCCTACAAACAGCCACCAATAACTAGAAAGCAAACTCTTATACGTACCCAAGCATTAGAAGGAACATCACCACCACCGGACACTTTTTTTAGCCAGATCAAACCTAATGGTGCTGTGACTGATGGATCAGTTTTACCTAATGGAACTTCAGAGAAAAATAATAAGAAAAAGCTACAATCACAGTCACATGAGGCTAAAGAATATCTTTTGACCTCTCACAAAATTTCCAATGTAAGTTGGTACAGTAAACTTGTAATTGTGTAAAAAAAACATGTAATATCTAACAAAAGTAATAATTTCACATCATAATTTTATTTAAACACTTTAGTCATGATTTTTAATGAGCAAACGGGTTATTGATATACAACAGTGTTTTGTAAATAAGGTGAAATCAGTGTGTTATAATATTTGTAAGCTAAACAATCTACAAGGTTTAAGCTATTTTTACAATCACTCGCAAAATGTGTTTTTATGTCAAATCAGGATTCAGGTCATGGAACACTTGATAACAATGATGGTTCTAGTGATACCTCTGTTTTATCAAGAGGTAAGATTTTTTATGTGTGAAAAGTTATTATAACATTTGTTCTTCTTTGTAAAATTTGAATTAAGAAATTATATTGTCATATATATTATTTTCCCTTTTGTATGTTCTGAATAACTGTTGTATTCTTCACCAGATTCTAGTCTAGAAAATGCCTCCCATGATATATATAAAGATTCATCAGGTGTCAATATACCAAAATTTATACGAGATACATTGTTGAAGGGACCAAAAGACAAGAAAACAGTCTTAGCTATTGAGGCACAACTTTTAGATTTTATTAAAAGTGATGAGTAAGGATCATTTTCAATTCCTTTAACGCTAACAATTTAACAATTTGTAGTAAGCCGAGTTTTTATCATATGTATTTTTCAACTTCTACTCCATGGTTTTACTCTTTTTATTCTAGCTCATCACCTCTAAAAACAAGTGAGATGACTTCCTATGACCGCATGATTGTGCATAGACTGTCTGCATTTTTAGGACTAGAACACAATGTAGATGCAACTGGCAAAAGTGTTGTGGTAAACAAAACTGAAAGGACTCGGGCGTAAGTATGGTTTTTATATAATTTTTGTTTGTCTTTCCAGACACTCTGTATAAGCCGTTAGATATTTTAGACAAAATTTTAAAAACACACAATTACTTAATTGGTTATAGTTTTTTAAAAATTCATATTCGTTCAGCGTGAAGTTAACAGACTTGATTTTAGAGGATGCCGGTGAGGAACCAAAGAAGAAAATACTCCTTAAAAAGCCGGCAAGTTTGGATGAAAAACATGTATGATAACAGTAAAATGTTCATCTAATATTTTTTGTGCAAATTAAGCTATTTAAAAAAAATAATTTTTTATACTTGGTCATAAATCTCTATATTTTAATGAGATTAACAGTGTATAACAATATTATTATTTTTTTCATTTGCCAGAGCCGTCATAACAGCAAGGCTGCTTTTGGTTCTCATAGAGCTAAATCATTAGAGGAGAGACAGCAGATATATTCAGAAGTAAGAGACCGCATCTTCAAACAAGATGAGGTAATTTTAATTCTTAATACCATTTAATTAATTAACACATTCATTTACCAATCTTTACATGTACTAATGAAATTTTATTTTATTTACAGAATATGCCAGAGGGTGGAAATAACTCATCTCACTTAACAGCGTAAGAATAGGCTGTTTCTATTTTTTAGTTAAGTAGACTCCTATATTATACAAGCTCTTACGTTCAAGAAAACCATTTTTATGTATAATTATTTTCTTAAATAATTGTCCATTTATTTTTTGTTTTATGTTATAGAAATTATACACCCCAAATAAGTCAACAACGAAGCTTAGATAGCATGAAATCATGTTCCAAGTGGACTAGTCAAGAATCAAGTGGATATGGTATGGAGAACAGCTATATACCAAGTGTACTTTTACGTGCCAATCTGAGCAAATCTCACAGTTATGGTGGTATCATATCAACTTCTCCACAGCACTTCACCAGCATGCCACATTCTGCTAGCTATAAGGCTGGTGAGATAAAGCACTGAATACTAGTGTCATGCTGTAGTGTTGTGTGCTGTTGACAGCCTGTGCAATTTTTTTACATACATAACTTAAAAGCACCTTCAAATCATTTCTAGGCTTTTGTTCTGTGCATTGAATAAAATATGTATCCCTTGAGTAACAACTAATTTTTAAAGTGGTTTAGTATTGCTAAATTGAAAACATTTGATTAAAAATTATGTTCACTAGTTTATATAATTGTGTATAAATCATTTTTCATCAAGTTGATTCATATCATTAGGTATTATAGTGCTTTTAGAGTGAATGCATCTGTTAGTTTAATTTAATTTTGCTGTATAGCTATACTGTAGTTTATTAATAGTAGATTAGATGTCATAACCTTATTTTTAATTTGGTTCAAGGAATTTTAAAGATTGTCTTTTTGGTCTAAAATAATACATTATTTAAAATTTTTGTTTAAAAAAAGAAAAAAAAAATTATTTGAAGCCATTTTTTGTAAATAGTTATGAAATGTTTTAGAAAGATCTTGTATTTTTTAACCAGAATCACTGAAAAGCTCACCCAACACCCATTATGCTGGGACTACTTACACTTGCCAGATGCCATTATTGTCCAATGAGCAGTCCCATTTAACGAGGTCAACACCAGATTCAGGCCCATCGCCACTAACACACAGTAAGTTTTTTATTGAAATGTTTATTTCTTTGTTAATCTTTTCACAGTTATGAAAAACAATTTTCTGCATCTCTAACACTGAGATATTCAATGTTAATATTTTGTTTTACAAATTTTCCAGTGACACTGGTATAGGAAATCTCTGGTTTAAATTATCTAACATCTATGTCTATGAAACATTACTAAAATTTAACCAGTTTAATTATTAGAGAAATATTTAATTTTCATTTGATTGCAACAAATGTACATCATTTAAGTGAAGTAATTATTCCAAGTTTATTATATAAAATATTGGATTAATTTGATTAGTCACATTGTTAATGTTAGTTTTTTTTAAACTAATCTTTTTGTGAAATCATTAGATTTTAAGGATATATGTTGCAGAATTCTCTTGGTTTTATTTGGTTTGATCTGGCCATGTTTTGTTATAAAAGGATAAAATCATTTTTTCCTCAGTTGTTATTATAGTGAAAATCTTTGAACTAAACTGATTTATACATACTATCCAAAATAAATCTTGTTATCACTGTTTTCATCAGGAAATATTTGATAGGAAATCCAAGTGGTTTAACATAAAACTTCTTAAGAACAAATGGAAATTTGTTCTTGGCATCACTGTTTTACCTCTAAGTGTAAAATTCATGTCTTAGTGTAAAATAGACTTAATATTATTAGGCAACTGGGTTAACCATATGCAAAGAGTGAACAAAGATACCCTCTTTGTTTTAGCACAACAGTGCCCATCTTACGCATATCTGGTCTCCTCTGACTACAGTAATATACCATATGGCAGCCTCATTATCAACCCACATACAAGTAAGTCTTGATGGCAGCCTTATTGTTATGTCATCATATACTTCACCTAGCCACCATCATTACTTCATCAAAGCTGTCAGAAGAAAGCATAGAATTGTACTTTTCTTATCCCATGTAATCTAGTTTTTACTTACTGCAATATTCTTGTATATTTCTTCCTGTAGTTTTGCATCATGATTTTTAAAAAATCAATTGATTAATGATTTTTACTTTGTTAAGTCAACATATTTACATGTTTCTTCAACAGAATAATCTTAAAAATAAATTTAAAAGCAGTTGTTTTGTTTCCATTCTTAATTCAGCCAAAAAGCACCTTTAAAATTATAATGAAATGTGTTTTTTGAAATTTCATTTTTTTTATAGTAAAACATGCTTTATATTTCTATTTTTTAGTTACAAGATTTGATATTTATTCTTAAATATTTTAAAATTATTTAAGTCACAACTGGGATTGTATAAAAAACAACATGACAATATCTATTAGATCTTTCTGTGTCTATTAACATAGCTTAGTTTTTCCTATGTATGGAAATTAATGGCTTGCATAATACAATTTTCTGGCATTACTCCACTACTTATTTGATCAGTTTGCAACCACAAGTATTGTAGCTTTATATTATTTCTTTTTATTAAAAGATGCTTTTAGATTTTAAGATTGCAATATTTACTTTTTAAATTCCCATGTTGAATGACTGCTTAAACTACTGTAGATTTTTTTATGGTGAAACTCTTTATTTGAAACCTGTTATTAGTATTTTTATTTTGCAGCAAATACTTATTTTATCACAGCTCACTAACTTACCATTGGTTCTAGAGTATATGTTTAATATCACAATGTATAATGATCACCTTCTTTAAACATCACTTTATCTGTATGCAAGTACTCCAGTAAAATCATTGTGCAGTATTGTAGTGACACAAATGTTGTATTTTTTGTTTTTCTGCACAAGTGTTTTTAAATTGGATAAAAGTAACTATTTTAAAAAGTTTCCATACATTTGTCACTATTATCATTTGATATTCCTCATACTGTTTAAAATCTTTATAATTTGAGCATTATATATTATACATCGTTTTTGTAATTAGAATTTCCGCTACTAGCCGTAATAATGCTTTATCTGGCTTTGGCATGCTCGTAACATTATAAGACTTTTATTATTTATAGTTCAAGATTTCAGATTTAGTCAAACCTGCTTTAGTGGTGAATTATTCAACATTTTAAATTGTCTAAGTTGTGTTTACAAAAAAATAATACACATAGTATAAGAGCTATGAAATGATAGTTTATAGCTCTCAAGATAATTGAATTTGGTTTGAGTTTTTAACATCTGTTGTGTATTTTTATAATGAATAGTAGAACGTTCTGAAATTATGGTGATATTTTCTTTCTTTTAGAAACCAATTGCACCACTTATAAAATGTGCTACCTGTATATCAGTTATTTATATTGGCAGCGATTCACTAGGCTCATCATAGTTCACATGGTTAACAGCATGTTTTGTCTATTTCATTTTCTGTAAAAATAAAAAAAATACTAAAACTACAGCTTAAAGTAAATCCAGATGTAAAATCTCTTCAATTTACATATTCAAATTGGCATAAGTAAAGTAGAGAATATATATTTTGTTTGAAAGTACACTTTTGATATGTCATGTTTGCCTTGATATTTATAGCCATATCAAATTTAAAATACAAACTTAGATTGGCTATTAAATCAGACAGAGATTATATTTTTTTTTAACTGAAAGTCAATTCTGGTATGTGAATCATCTGCAATACCAATACAGGTCTTTTTCTTGTTACTTCAAGGCGATGAGTAAAAACAAAAGTATGTTCCCCCCCCCCCCCCCCCCCCCCCCCCCCCCAATATTGCTTTAATAACAATATAAGTATTTTTGAGCCTTAAGTGATTGGCTGCCATTAATTTAGAATTTTATTTTCTTAGACAACCAAGTTTGAGTATAATTGACAGCATTATTTAGAAAGAATAAATATTTAGATGCCATTAACTTTACCAAAATATCAATTGCATGAAGCCTAATTTCAGTTTAAAATTTGTACTTTCTTTTTAAGCTCATATATTCCTGATTATTGCTTGTAAATAAAATGGGAGACATAAAACCTGACATATATTGATAGTTTGATTGAAGGTTTTCTCGAGTAATTTCATAGATATATTTAAGCTTAAAAAGTGTTGTAAATGCAAATTTTCTTACAATTGTATCTTTAATAAACTACTTTGACAGTAATTTTTTTAAGGTTTTACATGTAATTGTTTGACCACATCTTACACTAATTCTTTTTACAGTGCAACCACATGTGAACTCTGATGGCACATTGTACAGATTTGATCCAAGTTGTCCACCACCATTTATGGTTCAAACTCAATCACAACCACCACCCCCAACACCCCCTGTTGGGAACATCATTTATCAACAAAGCATGAGTTCTGTAAGTTTTTTAGTTGTTGTTGTTTCTCACATTTCTCATTTCTTTAATATACAACCATTTTAACATTAAAAAAAATGTCATTTGTTTAGGAGACCATGAATGAAATGACAGCAAGATTTGCAGCTTCATCCATTAATCCAGTTGATGCTAGCCCTGAGACATACAATGTAGGGGTACAAGGCCAGCCAGTTCCCATTGTGCCAACAATTTTACCACACCCACATGCTGTGTTCACACCAACACACCCTCCACAATTTCAACAGGTCTTATCTATATTCACTTTATTTGCTGCTTTTGATCAGTATATTTCATAGTGACTATAGTGTAACAGCTAATATTAAATGCATTATTTAATTACTCCTTTTAGGCCATGTTTTGTTAGCATATAAAACTAAACTTTTTATTAAAAAAAGTAATTTTATTTTGATTAAGTATTGGTAATGAAATTGTCATTTATCTGATCTTAAGTATAGGATTTAATTTTGAATTAACTAAAACAATTTTGCATTTTGTAGGGTCAATACTTTCCCTCGCCATCCTCTGTTGCAAATCAACAGTCAGTTAGGTATGTGGCTTATCCCATACATCCACAAGGTCAGCAGCAAATTTTGCAAGCAACACCCGTTGATGGACAAGGTCAAACAACTGTACCTATGCCAGCAGTCAGTATTCCTGCAATTCCTGGACCAGGAAATTACCAAGTAATTGGAGCACCTTTTCCAAATCCAGCTATTGCACCAGGAGCTGCTCCGCAGTGTGTTGATCTAAACTCTGCATATCATTACTCAGCTAATCAAGACACTGTAGTTGTCAGCACTGCTGGGGGTGTCAATGCCTCACCAGTGACTGTTACAACACCTGCGGGACTCATGCAAGCATTTAATATAGCTTATCCTGGTCAGCCACCACAAACTCACCAACACACTGTTGCTCATAGCCACCAAAATCACTTCAATCCCAATGCAGCGACACCAACAGGAACAACGTATTATGTGCCAGTCTCTACTCCAACACCAACATCTTCACTGGCCCAGCCGCCACCCTCATCTCATCAGTTTCAGCATCATCAACAGCATCCACAAACTGTGTTTTATACGCCATCAAATATGGCTATAACCCCATTAACTTATCCTGTAACTGTATCAAGTCCACAGCAGCCAACATCGTCAACATTCAAAAGTATACCTACGCCATATTTAGCCAATCAATATCGCTCATCTACTCCACCTCAGCAGCAGCAGCATCATCAACAGCTTCAGCCAACAGCCTCCACAAATGGCCATCATTCTGCACAATTGACTTTGAACTATAGTCAGCCTATTAACTTTACTCCTGGTCCACCTCTACCCCATCAGGGGCCACAGTTGGTCACATTTCAGGCCAACCCTTATCAAGTCAGACCTTTAGGAGCAGTGATACAACTAGCTAGCAACCCCCCATTGCAGGCTCAACAACAACAACAACAACAGATGTCCTATCAATTGTTTCGACAAGCTGGAGCAATTTCTGGTACAAATTTAATCTTTAAAAATCTGCTTAGATTAATGAAAAATTATATTTTGATTGGTATAATATTCACTTTACAATGGATACTAGGAATAGTCCAGATAATGTCTCTTCTATTGAATTTCATTCTAGATCATAGAAACTGCAGATAGGAAAGCAAATTTTCTGTTAAAATTTCGGTTAATATTTCTGCACCATTTTTTGCCAATTGAGACAGCTCTGTTAGGGACTGCGGTGAAATGTCAAATACTTCATTTAGTGTTTGTAAACAATATGCTGTTTGATGAAAATTCATGCAACTGGGCATGAGGCAGTCGAGTGAAAAAGTTCAATTTGATTTAGATAGGCATGAGGAATGGGAAAATATGGTGAATGTAGTTCATTTTCACATGCAATATTTAAGAATGAAAAATTAAACTGTTTTTATCCTCAGATTTTAAAATGATGACCCAAGGTGCTATACATCGTCAATCGTCAGTTACTATAAACACTCAAAATCAATCTCGCCCCAAGTAAGTCACTTCAAGCTATACTGCAGGCTAATGGTTCTTTCAGTTCATACAAAAAGATATTCTATACTTTGTCATAAATGTTTAGCTTGATGAGTTTAATAACGTTGTATTCTGATTATTCAGCAATTTGCTAACAAAAAAAAATCTATTACAGAGGCGCTAATGCAAATCGTCAAAACAAAAAGAGTCAAAGAAAAACAAGAGAAGTTGAAGATTATTCTGTCACATCACAGCCAGTTGTAGCACAAAACATGGGTCCCATGATGGCTCCACTTCTCCAAGGTTCTCAAACATACCAGCATATGCCCTCCACATCTTCTAACAGGTCATTTTTTTGTGTGACTTTCTTAAGTTGAGTCTTTTAGCACCAAAGGCTGATTCTAAGAGCATTTTTAACCTAGATTTCAGTGGTGAAAATTTTTGAGGATTCATGCCTATAGTCTCTATGTATCACATTTACTTGAAGCAATTTGTGCATTGAGCATATCCACAGCTTTTAAAAGACAAATTAATTTCAGTGCAAATTCTTTAAACTGTACAGTTTCTAGTGGAAAGCTAATTGTTTTGCTGTCTCTGTTATTTATTGTTTAATTAAACATGATGATACTTTGTAAACATCAAAATAAGAGTGAGCATTTTTTTTTTCAGGCAGTAGTTGCAGCCTTGCAGTCCCAAAGATCTGAAGAATGAGAAAACACAGCATCATGACTTGACATGAGGACAGAATATCAAACCTATTTAGTCATAATACAAGAGATGAGCATTTATTGGACAATGAACAAAATTTCTATACTGTGTGTTGAGTTGTGTTTATAGGTGAACCTAAAGAGGTGCCATTTTTCCTTAAAAGCTTTGTATCCTACATAGAAATTATCTAATCTATTCACACTGTTGTATTAACATTTCCATAGAAAATCTACTCAATTTGTTCTAACCACCTGCATAGCTCAAATTATTATCAAATTATTATCTAAACATGTAAATTAATCTTATTTGAAATTCATATTTATTGAATTCTTTAGTTCTCTTTCGCCTGAATAACAAATATTTTTTTTTTAAAGCCGACGCATACCTTGTTAACTGAGCACCACTGATGAAAATCATACTGCCAGGAATTTAGCTTTGACTTTGATTTACTAATCATGATGTTTTTCAACATTTTTGAAACCACAATAGATGGGTGAAATAATTAGATTGATGTCTATAGCAGATCTTTTTATTTGGGTCAAATGGCATCTCTGTTCTGTCTTTCACATACATAGTTAGTTTTTAATGAGTTAACTATGTATATTTTAGATCACATGTGGTCAAAACTTAAGTAAAAAACATACAGGAGCCAGCATGTAGCTAAAGAGGTTGTTACATCAGTACAACTGGTTGATTCACAAAACATACCTGATATATAATGGTCTCTCCATCCAAACCTTAAAGAAAATCAAATGCATCACCCTGAATTTTTAGCATGATTATCTGAAACATGGTTCTAGATGTCATAATGGTATATATATGACATATAGGTAACCTTACAGGTGTTGAATGTGATACTAGTCACAAGGAAGTGATGTAAACAAAGTGTAATGGAATAACAAACCATATCACAAATAAGCATACAAAACTATTCCTGTTGTTGCAAAAAGTTTGCTCAGATTCACTTTTCTACACAAAGTATTCTTGTATACAAATAATTACTTGCTAAACACTGATTTGTATTTAACTATTTAGTATATTTTCCTTTACTTAAGAAAATTGATAGATCTACATTTTGAAGCAAAATAGAAAAACAAATTCTAAAGTAAGATTAATATTGTTCACTCCAAAAGTTTTATGTATATTTTTGGGAAAAAATGTATTTTTTAACAACTACCATTTGATGTTCAGGTTTTTATTTTTGTGTGTAATGAAACACTTGGTTGACTTTATGGTTTAAAAAAGTTAATTTTACCAATTATGGTATTTTAATTATTTTAAATGCATAATCATTTAGTTAAAAAGTAAAACTAGTTTCTTAATGTGTTTATTTTATGCCACTAGTTGTAATGGTTGAACAAAAAGTTGTGTGCCTTTCAACACATATCTCTGTTACCAGCCAATAGAAGTTGATGGAGTGTATGATAGAGGAATAAATTGCAGTGGGTTTAGTTGTACACGTTTTGTTTAGTCTTGCTGATTGAAGTGTTTTACTGTTTGACTATGGTGTTTCTTGTCAAATTATTATCATAAGAGCAGTATTTTGCAATCTTCCATTTAGATTAATATTCATTTGAAGAGGAAAAAGATCAGATGTAATTGGTTAATCCCTATGTAATGTGGATTTGTTATATGATTCTTCATGTATAGTGTTGAAATCCTTTTTCAAAATCCACATTTTTTTTTATAAATCTTAAAAACTTGAAAAACAATATTTTCTTCCATATCTCTCAAAATTATCTGTCAAGCTAATAAAAAATACATTGTCTTCCTAGCTAAAGTAGATTGCTAAATAGTAGTTAAACACTTCCAAAGAACAATCTTTTTATTACAATAATAACCATTTGAGTACATAATTGAATACATAATTTTTACTATCAAAATGTTGCTAATGCAAAAGGCTGATAACTTACAAGGAAGCAACCAGTTTGCTACATCAAAATGTCCATGTTAACAAGAACCCGGTGTTATACAGTTAAGTAAACCTCTCAGTAGAATCAGCATTAAAATATGATTATCACATGCATTTGATAACGGTTCTTAGATGGAAATTGAAAAGATAGAGCATTGTTTTATGCTAAACATGTGTAGAGTGATATTTTGCAGATTATATTAATGTTATTCCACAAGACACTTTTAGTTTCATTTGGAAAACCAAAATGCTGAATTTATGGTTAAGTTTAAGATCAATATTCAATTCACAAGAATGAATAAAATGTGTTTACAAACCACTTCTGGTCAATAGTTAAAGGTCATCTATTTAAGATTTAGGTGTGGTTTATTGTTATGAACAATCTGCTGCCTACACTAAGTCCAATATTTAAGTGGTTTGATTCTTTAGTTGTCAGTTAATAGAAACATTTGTCAGATTTGTGATTTGTTGTCATGATACGTTTTTAAGTTCAAATCTTTGTCAAAACAATTTAAACTTGTTTTATTGGTCATGATTTAAAAAAGAGAACAAGAAACTTAGTTTTTTAAAATTCCTAACTCTTTAACTAGTGCTAAATTAAAAAAAAACCACTTACACTATAATAAGTTAAATGAGTTAATTTATTTTAGCAAAAGATATATGAAAACTTAAAACTTGTAACTGCACCTAGTAGGAACCATCGTGTTAAATACAATTACAGAAACTGTTCAAACTAGGATAGTCTTGTTAAAATGTTCCATGACTTTCCCCCCATATAAATAGTTTTGGTTGTAAAAGTTGTAGTACCTGGCTATTGAGTTAAAACCAAATTTGTCAAATCCATGATTGGCAGCTAACTCATTGAAAACTTCAACTGTATGTGATACTTTGAGATGATTTGTCATCAGTGGCTTGACAGGACTTGTACAATCATCTGAAAACCCTGTTGTAGCCTAATACATCTAAAGGATTTATAATAGTCCTATCAAAGTGTTTTAGGGTGAAACATGAGAATGAAAGCTCCGTGCCATAACTTTACTGTTGTATCAGTGTGCCACAAAGATATCATTTACACAACAGATTCATGCTATGTCAGTCATGAGACAAAGGGCTGGATCACTGGTTACCTTGTTTTTTGTTTTGATTACATTTTTAGTTAGTGTTCAAATGAATGGAGGAGAAAAATAAGCACTTAGAAACTGAGTTGCTCTTTGTAGAGCTAGATTAATGTATAACTTACCAAATCTATTTTAGCACAATGTCAAAAAGTAGTATCTTCATATGTTAGTTTGGATTGATTAAAATTTTGTTTAATTAAATGCCTTTATGTACATCTCTAACTTAATTTTATTTGTCAAATTGTGCTAACATTTGTGAGCCTAATAAAAGCATGTGTTGTAGTGAGGATTGACTTGGTTAACTGTTGTCCACCCAGAACCTACTGGTGCAATGATGGGTACAGTAGTCTGTACAGTCAAGGTTAGGCTTGGCTGCTAACACAACAGCTGTGAAGCTTTTGTGTGCATGAGGTACCGCTATGTAATAGTAGTCAGCATGGACATTTGTTGGTCTGTTGTTATTGATATCTTAATGCTAGAGTTGTGTTTATACATTTTTTAAATACTTTGTTGTGGAGAAATTATATGATGGTAAAAGAAATGTTTTGTAAGTTTGCTGAGTTTGCTGGTGTGTTTTGCCTAATGACAGTGGATAACGTTTTTAGTGTGAAGATAATTTCTTGATTCCTGTGTGCTGCTTCAAATTTTTGCTAATAATTTCCTTTTTTTTTTTGTACTTTATTGTTGAGCTCACTTTAAGACATCTGTTATTTGGTTTAGACTATTATTGAAGTGTAATTTTATTTTGATTCACGTATTGTTTTAGCTCATAATATCAAAACACATAATGTTTATTTTTACAAACATATTTGAAAAGTTTTAGCTTGTTAAAATCTTTTTAAAAAAAACAAACAAAATACCACAATTCAGGGAGTCAGGTGAATGTGAACTGCATAATAAATGGATTAAATGTAGAAACAGTTATATAGCTTACTGTTCTGTATTACTGAAAGAAAAATCTTTTTGTTCTGATTGAAACCAAAGATGTTGATGTGCAGATTGGATTCTGAAATATTCCATTGGGTACAGTTTGTGTATACTTGATGTTTACATGTGCAGAGGAATTTCTTAACTTGCCCTTTGAGTTTGTTGCTTTAGTTCTACAAACTTTTTAAAATCTAATGAATGATAGCTTGAAAGGAACTGGTCTATTTTTATTTTTTGCTTTATATTTTTTTTTATTTAGGAAAAGTGAATCCACATCAGGAATCTGTTGTTAACTTTTAAAGTTTCTTTAAGATCTGCGCACGTTTTTGATGCATTATTTCCTTATTCTTTTATAGATTTTAATTTTTATATTCACATGTTATTGATAATTGCACCAGTCAAATAATTCAAATTAATGTATGTAAATTTAGTTGTGTTGAAGCTCCTATGCCCCCACTGCCCCCATCCCTTACTATGTGTCCAGGTACTTGTAATTAATACAGATGAAAAATAAAACCAAGTTCCCAATAGTTGAGTTGTTCAATGTATTAAAAATATTCAGTGTGACACTTTTTACACATTTCAACACAAAATAATGTTCTGTTATCCCTGCTAGAGATTATATGTATGCCCTTCCTATGTTATATGCTGAAGTATCCCACAGATCTGCACCACATAAACAAATGCCATAAAGATCCACACCACAAACAAATGTCATAGAGATCCACACCACAAAAACAAATGTCATAAAGATCCACACCACAAACAAATGTCATACAGATCCACACCACAAAAACAAATGTCATAAAGATCCACACCACAAACAAATGTCATACAGATCTACACCACATAAACAAATGTCATACAGATCCACACCACATAAACATGTAACACAGAACAGATCCACACCACATAAATGTCATACAGATCCACACCACAAAAACAAATGTCATAAAGATCCACACCACTTAAGCAAATGTCATACAGATCCACACCACTTAAGCAAATGTCATACATATCCACACAACATAAACAAATGTCAAACAGATCCACACCACATAAACAAATGTCAAACAGATCCACACCACATAAACAAATGTCATACAGATCCACACCACATAAACAAATGTCATACAGATCCACATCACATAAACAAATGTCATACAGATCCACACCACTTAAACAAATGTCACACAGATCCACACCACATAAACCTATGTCATACAGATCCACACCACAAACAAATGTCATACAGATCCACACCACATAATCAAATGTCATACAGATCCACACCACATAAACATATGTAACACAGAACAGATCCACACCACATAAACATATGTAACACAGAACAGATCCACACCACATAAATGTCATATGGATCCACACCACATAAACAAATGTCATACAGATCCACACCACTTAAACAAATGTCATACAGATCCACACCACTTAAGCAAATGTCATTCATATCCACACAACATAAACAAATGTCAAACAGATCCACACCACATAAGCAAATGTCATACATTCTTTTTAAGCACTGAAATATGCCTGAGTGCTTTGGAACCCATGGCAGATTTTTTAGTTTTTTCTGCCTTAATTTTTACATATATTTTTAGTTGATCAGTAATGATCATTGTACTTTTAACTAGTCAAAATATGTTTCAGAGAAATTTAGATTTCACTGTCACATTTTTACAATAAGCTTACTATTTTGCTATTGTTAAAAGAAGACAATATGCTTTCAAGTTGGATTTATTTTTAAACGTTCAATATGAATGTTTGCAATATGAACAAATAATTAGATGTAACTTAAATCCTGTATTATCCCTTGCTCAAAATGCAATGCGACTAATATTTTTTGGACAAACATCCGCGTCTTATGAGTATTTAAAAATTATAGAATGTAATGTAAAATATTCACCTGTGCTCTTTCAAGGTGAGGTAAATAGTGTTGTTCTCCTGTTCTCTAAGTTCTAGGTTTATTATACATCTCAGCTGTATGATAACGCACGTTTAGATAAGTATTTAAAACAATATAAACCTCCCATCACAATCTGTGCACACAGACAAGAACTTTCAGGCACTACTGAACTATGTTTTTATTTTTATTTTTTAAATCCAGAGAGATACCTTGCATACATCTCAAATGTTCATGTTGTTTCAATATAAGACATAATTAAATAAACAAGGCAAAGCATAAACAGTGCTGCTATACAACAGTTGTGAACTATAAAGCAGCATGGATACAGTTGTGGTTGTTTGCTGGACAACTTTTGTTCTGCTGCTTTTTAGCCATATCTGCCTAGAGTTAATACTATCTTTTGACCTCACCTTCTCTTTGGCGTAATACTATCTGTTAAAGTTGCTGTGAGTAATGGCACTAGAGGAGATTTTGTGTCTTATAAATAATGATTTTCACCTGCTTTCTCATAATCTATCATATTACCTGATACTCCACTCTATATATCATATTTACTAATTGTAATACTAATTAGTAGTACATAAAGAGCAACAAATTCCTAAGGGGAGGATAATTTTGTGACAATGTGTGACAAGGTGACAACATACTTTTGCATTTTAAAAAGTAATGAATTTTAGCTGTTAATTGACATGGGGGGGGGGGGGCTGTGGAGAGATAGATAAAAAGCATTATGTCATATAAGATATGAATGACACTTAGCACTACTACCTATATTATACACCCTACTAAATTATGGATCATGCACATATAAACTATGCAAGAGGTGAGCAGTGGTTTTTATCATTATGTTAAATCGATTAAATAGAGCAATTTGCTTCAATGTGATATTGAATATTGATTATTATATTGCTACATTTTTGCCATTTAGTAAACCTAGTATCTCTATGTGTGATTGGATATTTTGGTTCACAAGTGTCTCTTATTAGCCCATAGGCTATAATCATAATTAGAATTCCTAGGGCCTACAAGTTTTTTTTAGTAAAATAGAAAAACACTTTTAATTTTCCCCCTTGAAAGCGGTAAGTGGGCAAACCAGCTGCAACAATATGGCCGCGCCCGTGAATAAATGGGGTTTCGACCTTAGTACTTTATAACTTTACCCTTCTTTTTTTACAACTTAAGCCCTACAGAACGAAAATTGCATTGTGTGACTTTATGTTTAGTTTAAATTATTAATTGGTATGTTGCTTAAATGGTAATCTAGGTCACTGAAATAAGATTTTTAGTTTTAGACATTTTTTAGACCCACGGCACTCCAGTCTCCAGTCACAGTTCAACTGTGACCAGTCACAGTTCAACTGTGAGAGTGTTTACTACAAACTACAAGGATCTATCTAGATCTAGATTACTAGAAATCTAGATCTAAGATCTAGTGTAGATTTAGATCTAGTAGTTGTGAGTAGAGTAGGTTGGGGTAACCTGCATACCGTGTGGCGTGTAGTAGAGTGTAGTGTAGTAGTAGAGTTAAGAAGAGACAGTTAAGAGTAGATAATAAAATCGGCCGATGCTAGCTGGAAAAAGATACGCATGCGCAATGGAGAGAAACTACTACTTGCCATCGCGCGATGTTTTTGATGGTACTGCGCATGCGTGTGTTTACAACCGCAGAACCCTAACACCAACCCTAATCCTAACCCTAATCCTATCCCTAACCCTAATTCTAACCCTAGCCATAGGTCACTACGCATGCACAGAGCTATCTTTTGCCGACTAAGTGGAGACGGGGAGAAAAATCTTCAGAGTAGTCACTTCGTAAAATAAATTAATAAGCCTGACAATGTCTGTCTACCTAGTCAACGGCTTACAGTGCCCTGCCTATTACTTACAGTATTACTAGAATTTACTAGATTTTATTCGAAGTGACTACTCAGAAAAAGATTTTTTGCCCCAAAGTCTCCACCTAGTCGGCAAAAGATAGTTCTGCACATGCGCAGTGACCTATAGCTAAGGTTAGGGTTAGGGCTAGGGTTCTGTGGTTGTAAACACACGCATGCGAAGTACCATCGAAAACATCGCAGCGAAGGCAAGTCGTAGTTTCTCTCCACTGCGCATGCGTATCTTTTTCCGGCTAGCATTGGCCCTAGTTTTATGGTTAGAAATTCAAATTAGGGTTAGGTTTATGGTAGGACCAGGGTTGAGGTTAACCGTTAGGGATAGGTTTAGCATTGTCTATGTAATGTAATAGGAAGCCATGTATGTATTTTAGTTAACTACGAGTAACCTAACACCCCTTTTGAAAAGAAGATTCTAATAATTCTATTATCGGACACTGATATAAAATTTCCCCCTTAGTAGTTAATTGTTAAATTGAGTAATTCCAAATATGGTTTTCTAATGACAAAGCCAACCTTAACAGAAGCCCTAACCAAAGTCCTGAAATGCCATTGATGATGTTACTTTAGTCTGACAATGGAATTGTCCAAAAATCTGCTCTCTTGGCGTATGTTACAAGCATTTCTTCACTTGTCGGCTTTGGATCTAGTCAAATTCTATCACATAGACTAGAATGACACATTAACCTACCAAAGCCCTAACCGGGCCTAACCCTACTAATATCATCTTAACTGCTATTAATACATTTAATATGCAAAATTAAAGAAATGGTACTGTGTTGAGTGGTTGAGTGGAACAATGCACAACTGTCATGCTGATAGACCCTGGTAAAAATCCATCAGATGCTCGATTCCATTTTAAAAATTACAGCTTTATTATTACTATTCACAAAAATAATTTTTTTTTTTTTTTTTACAAAACCAAATTCTATAATTTTAATTGCTTCTCACTAGTGATGTGATTGCAAACATATTTGCAGAGAGAAAAAAATCACATCTCTTAATCTACCTCCTTCCCCTGTCGTTTAAAATGCTATTGTTATTGTAATTTTTTAATCCCAGTCATATATTGCATGAAATTATAGCCAACTGGGAATAGCCATAATTTTCTAGGTTAAGGGCAGATTACTGGTAAAAAGTTAGGAAACAGATACAATAGATTGTAGACTTACCTTCCTAGCCTGTTACCTAGAACTAGGTTGGTGAATTTTATTCCATTTTATCCCATTGTAACTTGTGATATCTGTAATCTTTATCTTCTAGGTACCCTGTGTGAGATTTGTTAAAGTATCATGTCTAGTTTGAGAGGAGTTGTGTGTCTAGGATCTAATAGGAAGCTACAAGTTTTATTCTATGGCAGACCATTTTCATTACCCAGCCTGTTGCATAGCTCTTCTAAGAGCAAACTTATTATTCCAAGGTATCTGTAATTTATTTAATTGGGGGGAAGGACTACAATTAGTTTCAGTGAACATGATTTTTTTAAAGCTTAGTCTTTTTCTTAAGACCAGAGTAATTGAGAGTTTTCTTAATTGTCAAATGTAAAAATAAAATTATATACTTGCTACTTATTTCTGATACTAATTGATATTGAAGAAATATAAAAGTGCTATTGACAAAAAATAAACAATTGTTTGACAGGGTGTCCAGTGTGTTAACTCTAGATGATTCCTTGACGCTCCAATCATTTAACTCTTTTGCTACCAGTACAAAACATGAGTTTAGTGTGGTAGGTTTTTATATTTTTAAGTTCTCATTGTCTTTCCTACATGTGTAGTACTTGATAAAATATTAAATATGATAATAAAAATTGATACTATTTTGTGTGTTGAATAAAATATGAGCTTATGTTCTCCTTCAATAAATATCATTTAATTGATTCTAATTTTTAGTGAATCACAACTTATCAGATTCTATTTGTTTATTCTTAGGTGACAAAAAAGTCAAATGTAGACAGAACCCAAGTTGATAAAAAGAAATCTGAATCCAATCCAGTGGATCAGCCTCAAGAGAATGCAGGAGTGTTATCTGGTGCAGGTGTTGACACAGAGGATTTCTCTGTTATCTTGAAAGCAGTTAAAGACACAGTGGCTAGGAATTTTATACCTCAGTGTCAAAAGCTGTTAAGTGATTGGAGTAAAGCAGTTAAAGAACAAAAAGTCAAGGGTCAGGCAGTTAACCTGAATGAGATAGTGTCAAAAGATGTGAGTTTGGTCACAGAGTATGCCCTGACTCCATCAGCTCCTTCCTTCCTGCGCAACCAGCTGCTGTCTGTATTGCTGTCACAAGACACAGACTCTAGCCAGGCAGAACTTGTTTTAAACAACACGCTCTCAAACGCTATGGTTTTGCCTGTTGGCGTTGTGGCTGATATAGTTCTTACATTGTCAACATCAGCTGCAACTCCATTAAGAAAAGAAGTGCGTGAGAAGCTCTTGACCAGCATTGTCAACAAGAGGTGGTACGAGATCCCAGCCAAGCATGCCGTTTTCTTTCTCTACCAGCTGGATGAGGTTTTTGATATGAAAAGGTTATCACAGGAGTTCCAGGCAAGGAACCGCGTAAAGAAATTTAATGATAAAGACGCATTTGATCGTCTGTCCACTGAGATTGGCCAGGATCAAGAGGCTGACCAGCACGACCAGAGCTTGTACACACCAGACAGCTTGCCTGTGTTAAGCATCAATTTGGAGTCTAGAGTGTTGGAGCTGGCTGATGAAATGAAGGTCAAAGATCTAGCTAGGGTCTTAACTGTTTTAGCCAAATGGCGAAATAGAAATGAGACTCTCCTTAATGCTGTGATCCATCGACTTAGCTTGGCAGATATAACAGATTTTAATTTTATCCAAGCTAGTAATTTATTATTTTCATGTTCCGTGCTGAATATTAGAACTAGCAATTTTCTCCTCAAACTGACTGACCACATTTCTCAGCTTGACATCCTGTCGCCATCTCTAGCCTCTAGTGTTTTAGTGTCACTGTCACATTTACATTGGAAGGATGATAAACTACTCTCCAAGTGTCAACAATATTTAGCCAACAACATTGAAGCCTTGTCAGTAGCAGAAGCTGCTAATACTTTGATGTCCTTGGCGCATTTATCAGCTGTGCCATCTAGTGAGGAAGAAAATAGTTTTATCAAAGGTTTGTTTTTATCTTTTTATTATTTCATAGTCAACGCAATACATAGTTGTGGAAAAAATGTTAGTGCTTTGCAAATGACTTGTGAGTATTATTGTACCATTAAGCATCATAAATAATAGACGTCCACAAATTAAGAATTTTTTTTGACCATTTATGACAACACCCTCTCCCCCCCCCCCCCCCCCCTCTTTATGTTGACATACACAAAAAAATGTTTTCTCAAAACTTACTTACATAGTACAGCTTTCTAATTTAATTACATGTCATGTATGTGTACCTTGCAATGCTTAAAATGTACATATTGAATTCATTCTTTTAGGAAAAGTCTGTTATTAAAATATTAAAAGAAGATTGTAAAGTTTTTAAAGTATTCTTTTGTGAATGTTGATGTAGCTTTATAATTCTTGGAAAGACCAGATTGAGACTTGGATCTCTGTGTTTCCTTCTTCACTTGCTTACCAAATACATATGTTACATAGATAATTGTTTTGATAAGTCAAAAGTTTTGGACCTTTCACCCCATGTGTGGGTGTCCTAAATGGATGGCCTCCAAATTCAGTAGATTTTGTGCTGTATAATTGCTTTAAATGATGACAATTCTTTTCTGCCCTGTCAGATTTGACAAGAAAAGCCCTGGGTGCAGCACTGTCTCCCAGTGAGAGGGTCAAGTGTGTCTGGAGCCTGGCTGTCCTCAACTTGCTGGACGCTCAGCTGGCAGAGGAGGTGTTAGACCCAAACTTCACCCAGCAACTCTTAGGTTGGTGCACTGCTTGCTTTCTAGCCTGACTAGTATTGGCTTACATCTTTGTAAACACGGGATGGCTTGTATACACTATTAAAACTAAGTCTTACATTCCTAGAGTTCATTTGAGATCATACTGTCTTTAGGGCAGATGAAGCAGAGCTGATCTGTTGTATAGCCATTGTTGTTGTGTTTGAGTAAACTCAGCTGCTAATTAGAGCTTGGTGGCCTTATGGAGACTTGAAGTTTATTAATGCATGCATTTTTGTATCTATGTAATGTAAGCTTATTTTTGAAACTGATTGATTTAATATCTGCATATATTTATGTGAATTCTAAAAGTGTGTATTTTTAAAATGACAGATGCTGGTACATTTAAAAAAGTCACAAACATAAAAAAGTTGAGAATTATAAACTTAGCTGCCCAGTATGAAGTAAAAAATTACAAGGGACCTGTATTGTCACCCAAAGTTCTTAGTTCTACAGAGGTAGTGTTTTTTTTTTAAAATTCTTAGTTCTATAGAGGTAGTGTTTTTTTTTTTAAATTCTTATTTCTACAGAGGTTTTTTTTTAAAAATTCTTAGTTCTTAGGTCCTATCTTTTTAAAATTGTAACTTTGAACACAAATGCTGATATGAATAAAAGCTGGATTTTCTTAAACAAGTCATACTTTTTAATCGATGACCCTTGGGGCATTTCAAGTAGAAATCATCTGTGATTCGATCATTAGTTAGTTGACCATATATTACAAAGGGATTGTAAAAATAGCCCTCTCAAACCTGGTGGCCCATGGGGCAGGTAGGTTGAGTTCATCTGTTTCTGTGACTTTGGCATATGAAGGTATAGTGTGCTCATCATTATGCCTTTAATATTCTTAATGTAAGGCTGGTACCCATCAGAGCTTGCTGGTCTCAATATAGTCTCAAGACTGGGGTCCATACTTGAAACTTTGGGGTTAACAGTTGAACACTACCATCCGACCACACGATCCCATTCAGCTGCCCTTACTTTCCCCAATTTGAGTCAGAAGCTTGGCTGACTTTCACACATTCCTCAGGCTAGAGCCTGGGAACTGTACTCATTTATTTGCTAATCACATGCTCTACCACTCAACCATGCAGCCCTTGACTTGAAAGTTGTCTAATGCAGGCATCAACACTGTGTGATGATCAGACTCTGGTCAAGACATTTGGGAAAGCTTTAAGCAAGTTTGCCAACATCAAAACATATGCACAGCTGGCTCAGACAATACAGGCTGGACTTCAAGCAGGCAAGTGTCATACAAACTGGGTCATTGGTATTGACATTTGCTTTCAACTCATTGTTATAAGATTAATAAACTTGTTTCTCAAAAGTACAACTGACAAAATATATTCACTTAATGCAATGTTTCTATAAAGCAGGATTTACAAAATATATTTACTTAATGAGAGCAATATTTCTAAAGAGCAGTACTGACAAAATATATTTACCTAATGGGAGCAATGTTTCTATAGACCAGTATAGAGTAGTACTGACAAAATATAATTAACTTATGGCAGCAATGTTTCTTTAGACCAGTATAGAGTAGTACTGACAAAATATAGTTAACTTATGGCAGCAATGTTTCTATAGACCAGTAGAGAGTAGTACTGACAAAATATAGTTAACTTATGGCAGCAATGTTTCTATAGACCAGTAGAGAGTAGTACTGACAAAATATAATTAACTTATGGCAGCAATGTTTCTTTAGACCAGTATAGAGTAGTACTGACAAAATATAGTTAACTTATGGCAGCAATGTTTCTATAGACCAGTAGAGAGTAGTACTGACAAAATATAGTTAACTTATGGCAGCAATGTTTCTTTAGACTAGTATAGAGTAGTACTGACAGTACTTGAACACAAAGATGACCAAGTGTTACATCCTGCCTAGAGAACTTGAACCAAAACAAATGTTTCCCACAGTTAAATAAGTTGTTTATGACTTGTTGTAAGATCCCACAGTTAAATAAGTTGTTTATGACTTGTTGTAAGATCCCACAGTTAAATAAGTTGTTTATGGCTTGATGTAAGATCCCACAGTTAAATAAGTTGTTTATGGCTTGATGTAAGATCCCACAGTTAAATAAGTTGTTTATGACTTGTTGTAAGATCCCATAGTTAAATAAGTTGTTTATGACTTGTTGTAAGATCCCATGTCTGGTGCTAGTGTCTCTAACAACCTGTCCACACTCTGTACTAGATGCCGTGATGCAGGCCAACACCAGTGGAGATGTCCAGCCACTGGACAGACCAGAGAGTAACACAGAAAACACTTTCAGGTCATATTTTCTTATCTATCACAATGTACATTCTTTTTGTTTCAGAAACAAACTGAATTTAGATTACATTTAAAATCAGTTAATATTGTGCTCCATTTTTTAAAGTAAAAAAATAAAAGCCAGTTACTGGTGAATTTTTCTGTGGAATGTTGGTAAAACAAAATCTTAATAAATCATAATCATAAGTTAAAACATTTTAAATATGTTATGGGGAGGGGTAGTGTGTGGGTAGTGTGGGTAGAGTTTACACTAAGTGTGATGACAAGATTAAAGTTAGTATATAAGTGAGGGATAAAAGTATCTTTGTTTCAAGCTATGATTTCCTTTTTAATGTATGCGTTCTTCTTAGTGTCATTAGTTCCTTATTGTTGCAGGCTTGCCATACAGTTGATCCCATTCAGTGGTGTCATTAGTTCCTTATTGTTGCAGGCGTGTCATACAGTTGATCCCATTCAATGGTGTCATTAGTTCCTTATTGTTGCAGGCGTGTCATACAGTTGATCCCATTCAGTGGTGTCATTAGTTCCTTATTGTTGCAGGCGTGTCATACAGTTGATCCCATTCAGTGGTGTCATTAGTTCCTTATTGTTGCAGGCTTGTCATACAGTTGATCCCATTCAGTGGTGTCATTAGTTCCTTATTGTTGCAGGCTTGTCATACAGTTGATCCCATTCACTGGTGTCATTAGTTCCTTATTGTTGCAGGCTTGTCATTCAGTGGTGTCATTAGTTCCTTATTGTTGCAGGCTTGTCATACAGTTAATCCCATTCAGTGGTGTCATTAGTTCCTTATTGTTGCAGGCTTGCCATACAGTTGATCCCATTCAGTGGTGTCATTAGTTCCTTATTGTTGCAGGCTTGCCATACAGTTGATCCCATTCAGTGGTGTCATTAGTTCCTTATTGTTGCAGGCTTGTCATACAGTTGATCCCATTCAGTGGTGTCATTAGTTCCTTATTGTTGCAGGCTTGTCATTCAGTGGTATCATTAGTTCCTTATTGTTGCAGGCTTGCCATACAGTTGATCCCATTCAATGGTGTCATTAGTTCCTTATTGTTGCAGGCTTGCCATACAGTTGATCCCATTCAATGGTGTCATTAGTTCCTTATTGTTGCAGGCGTGTCATACAGTTGATCCCATTCAGTGGTGTCATTAGTTCCTTATTGTTGCAGGCTTGTCATACAGTTGATCCCATTCAGTGGTGTCATTAGTTTCTTATTGTTGCAGGCTTGCCATACAGTTGATCCCATTCAGTGGTGTCATTAGTTCCTTATTGTTGCAGGCTTGTCATACAGTTGATCCCATTCAGTGGTGTCATTAGTTCCTTATTGTTGCAGGCTTGTCATACAGTTGATCCCATTCAGTGGTGTCATTAGTTCCTTATTGTTGCAGGCTTGTCATACAGTTGATCCCATTCAGTGGTGTCATTAGTTCCTTATTGTTGCAGGCTTGTCATACAGTTGATCCCATTCAGTGGTGTCATTAGTTCCTTATTGTTGCAGGCTTGCCATACAGTTGATCCCATTCACTAGTGTCATTAGTTCCTTATTGTTGCAGGCTTGCCATACAGTTGATCCCATTCAGTGGTGTCATTAGTTCCTTATTGTTGCAGGCTTGTCATACAGTTGATCCCATTCACTGGTGTCATTAGCCCTCAGCAAATACCAACAGGTGATTATCAAGTGATCACCAGAGTTTTTCAACATTTAGGTTATGTACCTGTTCATGTGAGTTATCATTTGAATTCTTACCTTTTAAAGTTTAACTTTAAAAAACAATTTAGTCCTGCAGATATACTAATACACTTCTGTGATGTTGATGTTTAGAGCATCAGAAATCAGATTAAGACCTCAAACACCTATGATATAGACCAGGGGTCTCCAAACTACGGCCCGCGGGCCAAATGCGGCCCGCGATGTCCTCTCATCCGGCCCGCGGAGATCTTTTTGTCCACGGAAAAAAACGTTTGTTGGTGATGGCTGAGGAACTTTGTCCAGGAAAATCAAAGACATGCCTGGAAGAAACTGGCCCTCGAAGTGAAATTTGATAGTTAATGCAGCCCTCGGACTGAAAAGTTTGGAGACCCCTGATATAGACCAACAGAACAACTTTCATATAGATTTAACCACAACTTTAATTTTAGCTGAAGTTGGCTATCAAAGAGACTAGACAAATTACCAAATGTTCTCCAGAGTTTGATATTGTACTCATAATTAAAACTCAACCATTCAAGAATGTATCAATTCAGACAACTCTGGTCAAGAAGTTTACAATTGTCTCCCTTACAGGTTTTTTACTCTGACCTGAAGCCTTCTCTGAGTGTGGTGGAGCACATTACCAACATGAGAGCCAGGATAAAGGAGTGTGTCAAGGCCAGCAGATAGAGATGACATCGCCCACAAGTTTTCTTTTGTCCAACAAGTTTTTGTATCTCTGTACTTCTTCATCTGATATAAATGGTTTTAAATACTTGCTTTTGTGTTCTGTGTGCAACTTGTTTTAGCTTTTCTTAACATTAACCAGTTAGTGCTTTGGTCATCACTTGGTTAACCAACCTCTATTGAGTTCTAATTGGTTAGTGGGGCAGTGGTTATTTCATCCCAGTGTCTTGAGCTGTCTATGTAACCCATTGATAAAAGATATTTGTTTTAAGTTGTTTACAATACAAGAGTGTATGTACATATTTCTTTCAACTGCACTATCACTAAACACAAAAAGTTGCAAAAAACGAGTTTACTATTGGGGCTGTTTCAATGCAGATAAAGTAGAGCAGATGTGAAACAGGCCAGAAATTGAGATTTAGTGTCAAAGGACACTAGTGTATGTTTGTGTTGCTGCAATATAGTTATACTCACAGAGTGATGCAATATTTTATAAATGTTTTATCAACACAGTACTAATAGTAGTAATAGTGCATTTTTACAAGCTTTTAGTTAACAAGGGGGCAAAATTTCTACCGCTTCTGACTGACTTCTCCTATGTTGCAACACCCACCTCCCCTTTTTGAAATGTTAATGTTTTTGCAGAAACCATCCCAGAAGTATTTTTAACAACTTTCCAAAGTTTCATGGCAATCGGATGGAAGGTGAATTAATGCATAAAGGGCAGACAAATACACAGACATACTTTCATTCATTTATATATACAGTGGCGTAGCGAGGTCGTCACCCGTAGTGTCACCCGGTGCGGCACTTAATGGTGTCACCCCCCAGAGGCGTAGTGACCCTTCCCAAGGACAAACTTTCAAACTTTCGATTTGCACCCCCCCCCCCCCCCAAACTTCTTCAAGTTTTTCTCTATATATTTTGCTATTTTTTGCCTTGGTGTCACCTGGTGCGGTCCGCACCCCCGCCCCGCCCCCCCCCTACGCCTCTGTATATATATATATATATATATATATATATATATACATACATACATACACACACACATGTATATTTGGGATCAACCATTAATGACGCTACGCACATTAGCAGAGATGCTAATGGGGGGAGAGGGGTTGGTGGTCCTGATTGGTGTCGCTATTCTACGTTAAAGATGTGTATGGTTATAAAATCTGGCTTATTTAAAACAAACGCATCTCAGTACATTTCTGTCTGTCTACTTAACCACCACTGGTCAACAGTGACACCGTGCACCACTTTACACGTTGGATGAACTCGCTTGATGGGTCCGGGTGAAAATGTGCACTTAATAAAATACGAGATTTGGTTTCAGATTTCTCTGTAACGACGTAATCAAAACACAACTGGTCAAACCGGCGTCACTGCTCCCACCGTTACCCTACCCACAAACAAGCACATTAGTGACCACTACTCAGAGGCATGTTGACAGACGCCACATTTAGAAACTTCCGCCAGCCACTTCATTGGGGCGAACAGACAATGGGCAGACGTTTAAAAACTTTTTTTTCTGTTTTATTGTGATAGTGAAGGTTTAGTAGTGATCTGTTTAATAAGTATTGATGCACACAATCTGCAGTAATCTTTTTGATTGTTTTAAATCATGGCGGCTCTTGGTAGATTAAAAATCGTGTGATGACCACAAAATCCCGTCAAATGACAGAAACTGAAGTCTATTTGCAGTCATTGGTGGCGGATCCAAAAGGTATTTCACTTTTCAGATAATATAAAATTATTTCCCAGTAAGCTGTATGTCATTTATTATTACCGTACTACATAGGCCTACCCATATGTTTTTTTATTTAATTTAATAGAGTACACGTTCCTTGTATAAACGAGTTCTTGTTCCTTGTTTAATGGAGGCAAGATGAGCTCGATCATTATTGTTGACAAGGATAAAAATAGTTTTGTGGTTTTCTTTCTTTCTATTTTATGATTATAGCAGCCCCCCCCCCCCCCCCCCAAAAAAAAAAAAGAATTAAAAACTTCAAAATACTGGAGTTTCACTTACATAAACATTGATTGGCTGTACAGTACAGCAACTCTGCCATTAATCTTCTGAAAAACCCTCTTTCTAGTAATTTGTACTAAAATTTTGCAGATAAAATTTTAAAATATAATTTTAAAAAAAAATCACAGAACTAGTTCTATCATGTTTAATTACATTTTCAGTGAAAAATATATTTTGGCTATTTAAAAAAAAAATTTGTTACCGAAAATACCAACAACAAATGTATCACAAGGTTTAGTCCTACAAAGAAAACCCCTTCTCAATATAGTTTCTATAACCACGTTTATTTTAAACATTGCAATTGATTTTTTAAGACGGCTGCGTCCAAGTGCTAGCTTGTAGTGATATTATTTTCTAGTTGAATTGCTAGGGTATTTTTGTGAAATAGTTTAAAGTTCGGTGTATGCTTAACTACTGATTATTCTGTCGGCTTATGACACACTCGAGCAGATATTGATGTCAGTGGAGTTATTTGATCACAATATAAGGTTTGTAAGTGTAAGTATGGGCATGACAGTAACTTTATAAACTAACTGTTTAGTTATGGCAAGTAAAGAATCCTCTTTAGACCTAGCGATCCATTGGGCAGATAGTGTTCATGTTTCTTGACATCGGCTTATGAATGGTCAGCACTTTGCCCAACCGCATACACTTTCTTTAACATGAGTTAGGTACTCATCAGAGCTGGGTGAACTCAGAGACGTGGTACAAATGTATAGACTTGGACCCAGATTCAAACTCGAGACTTTCATGTTAGTAGCCTAGGGTTCTACCGCTTAGGACACGCTGTTCCATTTCATAATGGTAAGTCGGGTGTTAAAACATGTTCTCAACATGTTTGTGCAGGTTTAAATAAAGGTTCAATTGTCTTAGCTTTGTTGCTCAGATGCATTGATACATTGATAGTCTAATAGCGAATTGTGTAAGTGTGATAGTCTAATAGTTGTGTAAAGATGATAGTCTAATAGTATATTGTGTAAAGGTGATAGTCTAATAGTATGTTGTGTAAAGGCGATAGTCTAATAGTATAATGTGTAAAGGCGATAGTCTAATAGTATGTTGTGTAAAGGCGATAGTCTAATAGTATGTTGTGTAAAGGCGATAGTCTAATAGTATAATGTGTAAAGGCGATAGTCTAATAGTATGTTGTGTAAAGGCGATAGTCTAATAGTATAATGTGTAAAGGCGATAGTCTAATAGTGAATTGTGTAAGTGCGATAGTCTAATAGTATATTGTGTAAAGGCGATAGTCTAATAGTATAATGTGTAAAGGTGATAGTCTAATAGTATAATGTGTAAAGGCGATAGTCTAATAGTATAATGTGTAAAGGCGATAGTCTAATAGTATATTGTGTAAAGGCGATAGTCTAATAGTATAATGTGTAAAGGCGATAGTCTAATAGTATAATGTGTAAAGGCGATAGTCTAATAGTATAATGTGTAAAGGCGATAGTCTAATAGTATATTGTGTAAAGGCGATAGTCTAATAGTATATTGTGTAAAGGCGATAGTCTAATAGTATAATGTGTAGAGGAGTTAGTCTAATATTATAATGTGTAAAGGCGATAGTCTAATAGTATATTGTGTAAAGGCGATAGTCTAATAGTATATTGTGTAAAGGCGATAGTCTAATATTATAATGTGTAAAGGCGATAGTCTAATATTATAATGTGTAGAGGAGTTAGTCTAATATTATAATGTGTAGAGGAGTTAGTCTAATATTATAATGTGTAAAGGCGATAGTCTAATAGTATATTGTGTAAAGGCGATAGTCTAATAGTATATTGTGTAAAGGCGATAGTCTAATAGTATATTGTGTAAAGGCGATAGTCTAATATTATAATGTGTAAAGGCGATAGTCTAATAGTATATTGTGTAAAGGCGATAGTCTAATAGTATATTGTGTAAAGGCGATAGTCTAATAGTATAATGTGTAAAGGCGATAGTCTAATAGTATAATGTGTAAAGGCGATAGTCTAATAGTATAATGTGTAAAGGCGATAGTCTAATAGTATATTGTGTAAAGGCGATAGTCTAATAGTATATTGTGTAAAGGCGATAGTCTAATAGTATAATGTGTAAAGGCGATAGTCTAATAGTATAATGTGTAAAGGCGATAGTCTAATAGTATAATGTGTAAAGGCGATAGTCTAATAGTATATTGTGTAAAGGTGATAGTCTAATAGTATAATGTGTAAAGGTGATAGTCTGTTATTGAATTGTGTAAAGGGTGACATTAGTGTACTGTTGTTAGTGTTTGTGAACTATATAAACGGTATGATCGAATGGTAGGGCTTACAAGTGTCACCCGAATTAGGATCCTGTGCTAAATTATGTAGTTCACGCAGCTGCGATGGGTACCTGACTAACGTTAGCTAAACAAAAACGGCAAGCATAATGCTGACCACCTTATCCCTCGCATGTCGAGGTCATTGAAACAGATGAACTTTACTGCACTTGCATCCAATGTTTCTTCCAGACTTTTTTCTCCGGGGGGGGGGGGGGGGCACTTGAAATTTTCGGGGGGGGGGGGGGGGGCGGACACTGTTAAAAGTATATATTTTCTATATAAATTATATAAATTTCATTTCGAAGAGGTGCCTGGAAGAAACTCTGCATCGTGTGTCTTGCGCACGAACGGGACGAATTTGTAGCGAGGCTAGACACGGATGGTTTGTTCACATTTTACCCTCCAGTGTGGTGTGGAGGCTTTGGAAAAATTCGTCGTTTGTAACTTGGCTGCTATTTCATGTCATTCCAACACCAAATACGTGTTTTTTAAAAACAATATTAAACAGTAATATAGTTTTGTAGTCTATTTCTTTTCGCTAAAAATGAATAATCTTTGTCTTAGGTTTATTTGCACGCGCCAATAGAAGACAAGCTTGCCATGACATGGAATTATACCAGAGTCGCCCCAGCCAGACAAATTGCCACATACATCAACTGCCATCTGCCAGATAATTGCCTCAATCCCAACTGCCATCTACCAGATAATTGCCTCAATTCTAACAGTGTTCTGCAAGATAATTGCCTCAACTCCAACAGTCTTCTGCAAGATAATTGCCACATACATCAACTGCCATCTGCCAGATAATTGCCTCAATTCCAACAGTCTTCTGCAAGATAATTGCCACATACATCAACTGCCATCTGCCAGATAATTGCCTCAATTCCAACAGTCTTCTGCAAGATAATTGCCACATACATCAACTGCCATCTGCCAAATAATTGCCTCACACATCAACAGTCATCTGCAAGATAATTGACACCTCAACGGACACCTATACGAAGATTGTCCCATCTAACTACGGACAGACGCCCCGTCTACCAACAGAGACGCCCCGTCTACCAACAGAGATGCCCCGTCTACCAACAGAGACGCCCCGACTACCAACAGAGACGCCCCGTCTACCAACAGAGACGCCCCGTCTACCAGCAGAGACGCCCCGTCTACGAGCAGAGACGCCCCGTCTACCAGCAGAGACGCCCCGTCTACCAACAGAGACGCCCCGTCTACCAACAGAGACGCCCCGTCTACCAACAGAGACGCCCCGTCTACCAACAGAGACGCCCCGTCTACCAACAGAGACGCCCCGTCTACCAGCAGAGACGCCCCGTCTACCAACAGAGACGCCCCGTCTACCAACAGAGACGCCCCGTCTACCAACAGAGATGCCCCGTCTACCAACAGAGACGCCCCGACTACCAACAGAGACGCCCCGTCTACCAACAGAGACGCCCCGTCTACCAGCAGAGACGCCCCGTCTACGAGCAGAGACGCCCCGTCTACCAACAGAGACGCCCCGTCTACCAACAGAGACGCCCCGTCTACCAACAGAGACGCCCCGTCTATCAACAGAGATGCCCCGTCTACCAACAGAGACGCCCCGACTACCAACAGAGACGCCCCGTCTACCAACAGAGACGCCCCGTCTACCAGCAGAGACGCCCCGTCTACGAGCAGAGACGCCCCGTCTACCAGCAGAGACGCCCCGTCTACCAACAGAGACGCCCCGTCTACCAACAGAGACGCCCCGTCTACCAACAGAGACGCCCCGTCTACCAACAGAGACGCCCCGTCTACCAACAGAGACGCCCCGTCTACCAGCAGAGACGCCCCGTCTACCAACAGAGACGCCCCGTCTACCAACAGAGACGCCCCGTCTACCAACAGAGACGCCCCGTCTACCAACAGAGACGCCCCGTCTACCAACAGAGACGCCCCGTCTACCAACAGAGAGAGACGCCCCGTCTACCAACAGAGACGCCCCGTCTACCAACAGAGACGCCCCGTCTACCAACAGAGACGCCCCGTCTACCAACAGAGACGCCCCGTCTACCAACAGAGACGCCCCGTCTACCAACAGAGACGCCCCGTCTACCAACAGAGACCCCGTCTACCAACAGAGACGCCCCGTCTACCAACAGAGACGCCCCGTCTACCAACAGAGACGCCCCGTCTACCAACAGAGACGCCCCGTCTACCAACAGAGACGCCCCGTCTACCAACAGAGACGCCCCGTCTACCAACAGAGACTCCCCGTCTACCAACAGAGACGCCCCTGCACAACGACCTTAACCATATTAAGTTCCAATCGTACTAACTTCCAATCGTACACTAGTTTTACATTTAACTGTACAAATAATTAAATTGGTGTATTTTCCAATGCCAAATGTTCAACAGCTGATGGTAATTGTTTTCATTAACAAAATTCCAAAAGAATCTTCGGACCTGGTAGATATATTTTACTTACTGAAATTCATTTTATCTGTTAAAATTTGGCTGGAAATACACAAAAAAAAAATTACATACCAATTTAAAAAAAAACTGTCAGAAATATTTTCTGTCACGGTGGGGAAAGGGGAGACTGGAGAGGGGGCGGGAAAATGGGAGGGTTGGAATAGGGGGCGGGATGGCGGGAAAAACGGGATGGCGGGAAAAAGGGGAGGGTGGGAATAGGGGGGCGGGAAAAAGGGGAGGGTGGGAATAGGGGGGCGGGAAAAAGGGGTGGGTGGGAATAGGGGGGCGGGGAGAAAGGGGAGGGTGGGAATAGGGGGGCGGGGGAAAGGGGAGGGTGGGAATAGGGGGGCGGGAAAAAGGGGTGGGTGGGAATAGGGGGGCGGGGGAAAGGGGAGGGTGGGAATAGGGGGCGGGGAGAGAGGGGAGGGTGGGAACAGGGGGGCGGGGAGAAAGGGGAGGGTGGGAACAGGGGGCGGGGAGAAAGGGGAGGGTGGGAACAGGGGGGCGGGGCGGGGAGAAAGGGGAGGGTGGGAACAGGGGGGGGGGCGGGGAGAAAGGGGAGGGTGGGAACAGGAGGGGGGGGGGGGCGGGGAGAAAGGGGAGGGTGGGAACAGGGGGGGGGCGGGGAGAAAGGGGAGGGTGGGAACAGGGGGGGGGGCGGGGAGAAAGGGGAGGGTGGGAACAGGGGGGGGGGGCGGGGAGAAAGGGGAGGGTGGGAACAGGGGGGGGGGCGGGGAGAAAGGGGAGGGTGGGAACAGGGGGGGGGGCGGGGAGAAAGGGGAGGGTGGGAACAGGGGGGGGGCGGGGAGAAAGGGGAGGGTGGGAACAGGGGGGGGGCGGGGAGAAAGGGGAGGGTGGGAACAGGGGGGGGGCGGGGAGAAAGGGGAGGGTGGGAACAGGGGGGGCGGGGAGAAAGGGGAGGGTGGGAACAAGTGGGGGGCGGGGAGAAAGGGGAGGGTGGGAACAGGGGGGGGGGGCGGGGAGAAAGGGGAGGGTGGGAACAGGGGGGGGGGCGGGGAGAAAGGGGAGGGTGGGAACAGGGGGGGGGGCGGGGAGAAAGGGGAGGGTGGGAACAGGGGGGGGGCGGGGAGAAAGGGGAGGGTGGGAACAGGGGGGGGGGCGGGGAGAAAGGGGAGGGTGGGAACAGGGGGGGCGGGGAGAAAGGGGAGGGTGGGAACAGGGGGGGCGGGGAGAAAGGGGAGGGTGGGAACAGGGGGGGGGGGCGGGGAGGGTGGGAACAGGGGGGGGGGGCGGGGAGAAAGGGGAGGGTGGGAACAGGGGGGGGGGGCGGGGAGAAAGGGGAGGGTGGGAACAGGGTGGGGGCGGGGAGAAAGGGGAGGGTGGGAACAGGGGGGGGGCGGGGAGAAAGCGGAGGGTGGGAACAGGGGGGGGGGCGGGGAGAAAGGGGAGGTTGGGAACAGGGGGGGGGCGGGGAGAAAGGGGAGGGTGGGAACAGGGGGGGGCGGGGAGAAAGGGGAGGGTGGGAACAGGGGGGGGGGCGGGGAGAAAGGGGAGGATGGGAACAGGGGGGGCGGGGAGAAAGGGGAGGGTGGGAACAGGGGGGGCGGGGAGAAAGGGGAGGGTGGGAACAGGGGGGGCGGGGAGAAAGGGGAGGGTGGGAACAGGGGGGGGCGGGGAGAAAGGGGAGGTGGGAACAGGGAGAAAGGGGAGGGTGGGAACAGGGGGGGGGCGGGGAGAAAGGGGAGGGTGGGAACAGGGGGGCGGGAGAAAGGGGAGGGTTTGAATAGGGGGCGAGTAGACTATTGTGTACTTTGTGCCTCGATTCTAAAATTGAAAAATAAAAGCACTGCTGGTTCAAATTTGTAAAATTTTAATCAGTAATTATAGCTGATTATTTGCCTCTCGTCTGCCTCTACAGTTGCTGTTGGATCCAGTCGTAGTAGGCGCTGACGTCAGTATACACGCCGGTGTAGTTGGCCCTAGCGCATCCCTCACCGTAGGAGACGACCCCAGCAGCCACCCAAGTGTTGGTCGCAGAGTTCAGACAGAACAGGGGTCCTCCTGAATCTCCCTGGGAGAAAAATTCATGGTGTTAGTGATTACAGCTTCAGAAAGATTTGAAAAGTTGCAGTCTATTCAATTGTTATTTGATATATACTTTTCTATAAAGAAAGTGTGAATCTAAAAATTATTTTTTGTATGTGTACATCCATTACTAGTGGATTGTCTAAAAAATTGTACGCTATGACTGGCTTATTGCTGGCATCGATATAATTGACTAAAGCGTACTCTTGTTCCCAAAGAAATAAAGTACCACTTCTGGTTACCGGAAATCGTTCGAAAGTTATATGTGAAATCTCGACGTACCGAACAAGCATCAACTCCTCCTGTGGTTTCACCAGCACAAAACTGCCTGGTTGGGTCAGTGAAGTAGTCCTGGCCAGCTAAAGGAAATTGGGCGTAGCAATCTTCACCTTGGTAGGTTGTTATTGATGCTGTCTGCAGTGTTGTGGATGGCCGAAAAACATTTTCTAGGAAATTAACAATACCAAGGGATGTTAAGTCAAGGGCTCTCAAAATATACGACTGGGTATGGATGCTTGTTAGCTCATAAATGTATTTACTACTGATTTATAGCCTAAACCACTGCTAAAGACTAATATATTTCTTATGTCTAATTACATAAAAATAATTAGAACCTTGCAGTTATTTCCATCCACAAAAAAAAAAATACTTAAAAACTCACATTTACAAAAACAGAATCAGAACCTGACATTTAGTTACGAAAACAGATTGAAAACCTCAGGTTTAGTGAAAAAAAAACAGACTTAAAACCTCACCATCTGTAACACCCCAGCCAGCTATTTGACATTTCTGTCCCGATACAACTTGATACGTCGGGTCCATACAAATGGGTTTGGCGCATGTTCTAGTTAGGTTTATAGGCGTGTCCAAAGTAAGAATGGCTATAGCATTGGCTAAATAGAAAAGAGTAAAAAAAGTAATTAATTATGCCTTTATTAAAAAAAATAAAGTGGCTCTTCCCTGAACTTTCTCGTATTTAGTTATCTTACTTTATGTGTTGTTATGGCACTTCCAGTGGAACGGACGATTGATAAGTAAACAGACAGACAAACAGACAAACCGGCTGTAAAATATCGAAGAATATCAAAATCTCGCTTTCGATCTTTCGCACTACTTGTATACGGAATATAAAGGAAGACTTCCTCTATACTCAGTATACGCGAAAGTAAAAAGGTCGATTTAAGTAAAAATTCGCAGATTTTTATAAAAACAAGACTAACAAAAAAAGTACCAGTAACGTACGCGGATAGGGGGGGGGGGGAGGGAAAGAGCCGACCCAAAATGTTGTTTTCTTTTAAATTTTTAAACTCAAAGTATATATATATATATATATATATATATATATATATATATATATATATATATATATATATATATATATATATATATATATATATATATATATATATATATATATATAAATATATATATATATATATATATATATATATATATATATATATATATATATATATATAGAACATATTACAAAATTCGGCGCCTTTCTTTCTATTTTCGCTCCCCTACTCCGAAAACCTGGATACGCCTTTGAAAAGTACCCAATATTTTCGTCTTACTTTTAGCAATGTAGTCAAAGGCTGGATGGACGGAGACACCAGTCGCCATGTTGACAACAAAGACTTGTTCTGTTCCCTCCACGACAGACGTATCGTACTCTCCAACTGTGGCCTGGATGCTGGTCGTCTGACTGTGATCAAGTATAAAGGTAGGAATTATATGGTCATTGTGGTCAACTGTGTTCTGTACAAAAATGCAGGAGGTTGACGTACCTAGCACAATGTGCCGATGTGAGAATGTGGGTTGCATCTATTATAAGACCACCACAAACATCATCGTCCACCACAAGTCGGACAATCCACGGATACGTGTTGCACGATCCAGCTATCGTCCCGCCCACAATACGGGTAGTAAGCAGAAGACTGGAAGAGTTGATTTGCGCAGTCAGGTTAGCTATATCACTGAGTCCACACTGGGCTACAAGAATATATATATATATATATATATATATATATATATATATATATATATATATATATATATATATATATATATATATATATATATACATACACAGTAGTTACGAAAACCAACATTATTGAATTCCATTTTATGACTACACGTTCCTAATACACTACGGTGGAAGGGGGGGGGGGGGGTGGCAACTCAAGATATATACATGATTTTTAATCAATTGCTAAATACTTCAACTTTTAAAAATAGAATAGAATCTCGTAGATAACTTAATTGCGCAACAAGTGAATAGCAAGAAATGCGTGTATAATTGTGCGGAACATTTGTACATTATAAATTCAATATTCGTTTTTTTATAAATCGGAAATAGCGTAAAGTAATACTTTCGGTCACCGCAAACTACTCAAAGCAAGAGAATTATATATTTTACTTATATGTGAAATTTCATCTATTTATAAGAATCAGTACTCAAGTTATAGGCTTTTGAAAAACCGAAAGTAGAATAAATTCCACTTCCGGTTACCTGAAATTGATGAAAAGTTGAAACAAATTTGATGTAATATGAAATTAAAAAAAAACCTAGCTTTAACGTTACTCAAGTTATCGTGTTCACAGTCACACACACAGACATACAGACATAATTGCAAAAAGTGTTTCTTTCAGACTTTTTTCTCCGCGGGCACTTGAAATTTCGGGGGGGGGGGGAGGCGGACTAAAATTTTTTTTGGGGGGGGGGGGGGGGGAGAGATGCCTAGAAGAAACTCTGCAAAGCCCAGCTTTTCCGACTCGATTACGCATAAAACGACGAAATTTTGATAAATCTGGATTTAGAATTTTTGCCAGATTAAAATAAGTCCCCTATCTTCCGTATGTGATGAAGTACTGAGGTGTAAAGGGATGAAAACTGTCCAAATTTCATGTAATGTTTTTTTTTTGCAGGATTACAATACTTCCTGTATACTCTATATACGAGAAAGTAAATAAAACGACAACATCTAAGGCCAATAAATAGAAAACAATGTTTTAAACAAATAAATTTAAGATAGCGAAAAGAGAAATAAAAACAACTGGCAGCGCTGGTTGTATGAACTTTAAATCAGGGCAAATAAATTCAGCTTAAAACTGATAAAATTTATTAGGCAAAAAAAAAATTTGTAACAAAAGGAATAAAACTAGATAAGACATACCAGTGTGTGGAGATGTTGGAATTTCTGTTGTCATATCAGGAATGGTTATTGTAGTATTTGTACTGGTTTCTAGTATTGTTGTGTTTGTTGTAATGGTTTCTGGTGTTGTGGTGGTAGTAGGAATTGTTGTTGTAATGGTTTCTAATGTTGTGGTGGTAGTAGGAAATGTTGTTGTAATGGTTTCTGGTGTTATGGTGGTAGTAGGAATTGTTGTTGTAATGGTTTCAGATGTTGTGGTGGTAGTAGGAATTGTTGTTGTAGTTGTTGTGTTGGTTTCTGGTGTTGTGGTGGTCTTACGAGTGGATAATTTTGTAGGGGTAGTTGTGTGGTTTAGGTTAGTGGTGTTTATTTGATGTTTTGTAGCTGTTGCTGATGTTATGGTTGTCTTAGGAACGGATAATTTTGTGGGGGTAATTGTGTGGTCTAGGTTAGTGGTGTTTATTGGGTGTTTTGTAGCTGTTGCTGGTGTTATGGTGGTCTTAGGAGTGGATAATTTCGTATTGGTGGTTGTGTGGTTAGGGTTAATGGTGTTAATTGGGTGTTTTGTAGTGATGGTTATTGGCGTGGTGATAGATATATGTTGATTTAACGTTGGTGGTTGTGGGTTTAGTGGGTGTGGGTTTGGTGTTTGTGACTGTTGGTTTGGTGGTTTAGGGTTTAGTGGGTGTGGGTTTGGTGTTTGTGACTGTGGGTTTGGTGGTTTAGGGTTTAGTGGGTGTGGGTTTGGTGTTTGTGACTGTTGGTTTGGTGGTTTAGGGTTTAGTGGGTGTGGGTTTGGTGTTTGTGACTGTGGGTTTGGTGGTTTAGGGTTTAGTGGGTGTGGGTTTGGTGTTTGTGACTGTGGGTTTGGTGGTTTAGGGTTTAGTGGGTGTGGGTTTGGTGTTTGTGACTGTTGGTTTGGTGGTTTAGGGTTTAGTGGGTGTGGGTTTGGTGTTTGTGGGTTTAGTTTTGGTAGCTGTGGCTTTGGCTTTGGGTTTGTTAGTGGTGGTTTTGTCTCGACCAGGTTAGGTAGCGGGTAGATGTAGCAGTCAAGTAGTGGTGCTAGTAGCAGTAGAAAAACTGACGTCCGACACCGGGCCATTGATGACGCTGACAAGATTGTGAGTTTTATTTTATAGACAGTGTAAAAAACAAATATATTACTTGTTACATCTTTATACTTTATTGTGACCAACTGTTGTTTTATTAACTTAAAATACTTGACATAAATATCTTACAAATAGAAATAAACGGAACAAAGAATCCACAATTTAATACGTTCTTACCCTCACTTATTTACAAGTTCTCTTTTCTATACATGTGTAGTTTTAGTGCCTGTCACTCCTACATATACTATGTTTTGAACCCGCTCACGTTTTAAAAAAATCCATTGCTTGTTTTAAGGGTTAGATTAGCGACCCGCATTTGATAATCTCTATTTGATAATCTCTATTATTCTCATAGTTTCCTGTTACACGGAGAAACAATACGGTAAAGCACAAAGTTTAAAGCAGCTTTATCTTTTAAATAATAATACAGGAGATTAGGTATGAAGGTTTCAACAGGGGCGTTGTTAGGGTTTTGACTTAGGGGGAAAAGGAAATGCCACGTTTGTTGTTATATTCAAGCCTTTAGTTTACATAAATTTATCATATATATATATATATATATATATATATATATATATATATATATATATATATATATATATATATATATATATATGTGTGTGTGTGTGTGTGTGTGTGTGGGTGTATACATACAGATATGTATATTGTTTGCATATGTATATTCACTCTTAATACAGACACGCATACACATATATGTATATTTATATTTATTTATATATATATATATATATATATATATATATATATATATATATATATATATATATATATATATATATATATATATATATATACATATATATATATATACATATATATATACATATATATATATATATATACATATATATATATATACATATATATATATATATATATATATATATATATATATATATATATATATATATATATATATATATATATATATATATATATATATATATATATATATAAAGAGAGAAAGAGAGGCCCTATAAGTTGAAACAGTCCTGTTTACTGTATTGTTTAAGCAAACTATGTGTACGATGCTTGTTATATTCCAATGTAAAATATTAATACATCATCATTTGTTTCAAAATTTATATTTTCTGATTGTAAAACAATACAGCATTTATTCAATGGCTACAGCGACCCTAGGACATCTACCACGTGAAACCTGCATCACAACTTGAACCAGCAGACAATGAAGGATTAAAATACATTGGCAACAATGCCGCCTCATATTGGGTTCAATATCCATTAAGATACACCATGATTCCATCTATACTGGTCTAGTCACCATTATGGGAAGTCAAATTTTACGACAGCTCGTAGAGCGAGACTTGTCAAAACAAACACCGCTTTCATCCACATGTGTGACTTGGCTTAAGAGAAAGTCTTTGTAATATCCGAGCTTTGTCATACTGTGTTGATTAGTCTAAATGTGTTGATTAGTCTAAATGTGTTTGGTTAGTCTAAATGTGTTGATTAGTCTAAATGTGTTTGGTTAGTCTAAATGTGTTGATTAGTCTAAATGTGTTGATTAGTCTAAATGTGTTGATTAGTCTAAATGTGTTTGGTTAGTCTAAATGTGTTGATTAGTCTAAATGTGTTGATTAGTCTAAATGTGTTGATTAGTCTAAATGTGTTGATTAGTCTAAATGTGTTGGTTAGTCTAAATGTGTTGATTAGTATAAATGTGTTGATTAGTCTAAATGTGTTAATTTGGCTAAATGTGTTGATTAGTCTAAATGTGTTGATTAGTCTAAATGTGTTTGGTTAGACTAAATGTGGTGATTAGCCTAAATGTGGTGATTAGTCTAAATGTCTTGATTAGTCTAAATGTGTTGATTAGTCTAAATGTGTTGGTTAGTCTAAATGTGTTGATTAGTATAAATGTGTTGATTAGTCTAAATGTGTTGATTTGGCTAAATGTGTTGATTAGTCTAAATGTGTAGATTAAGCTAAATGTGTTGATTGGTCTAAATGTGTTGATTAGCCTAAATGTGCTGATTAGTCTAAATGTGTTGATTAGTCTAAATGTGTTGATTAGTCTAAATGTGCTGATTAGTCTAAATGTGTTGATTAGTCTAAATGTGTTGATTAGTCTAAATGTGTTGATTAGTCTAAATGTGTTGGTTAGTCTAAATGTGTTGATTAGTCTAAATGTGTTGATTAATCTAAATGTGCTGATTAGTCTAAATATGTTGGTTAGTCTAAATGTGTTGATTAGTCTAAATGCGTTGATTAAGCTAAATGTGTTGATTAAGCTAAATGTGATGATTAAGATAAATGTGTTGATTAAGCTAAATGTGTTGATTAGTCTAAATGTGTTGATTAGTCTAAATGTGCTGATTAGTCTAAATGTGTTGATTAGTCTAAATGTGTTGATTAGCCTAAATGTGTTGATTAGCCTAAATGTGCTGATTAGTCTAAATGTGTTGATTAGTCTAAATGTGTTGATTAGTCTAAATGTGCTGATTAGTCTAAATGTGTTGATTAGTCTAAATGTGTTGATTAGTCTAAATGTGTTGATTAGTCTAAATGCGTTGATTAAGCTAAATGTGTTGATTAAGCTAAATGTGTTGATTAGTCTAAATGTGTAGATTAGTCTAAATGTGTTGATTAGTCTAAATGTGTTGATTAGTATAAATGTGTTGATTAGTCTAAATGTGCTGATTAGTCTAAATGTGTTGATTAGTCTAAATGTGTTGATTAGCCTAAATGTGTTGATTAGCCTAAATGTGCTGATTAGTCTAAATGTGTTGATTAGTCTAAATGTGTTGATTAGTCTAAATGTGTTGATTAGTCTAAATGTGTTGATTAGTCTAAATGTGTTGATTAAGCTAAATGTGATGATTAAGATAAATGTGTTGATTAAGCTAAATGTGTTGATTAGTCTAAATGTGTTGATTAGTCTAAATGTGTTGATTAGTCTAAATGTGTTGATTAGTCTAAATGTGCTGATTAGTCTAAATGTGTTGATTAGTCTAAATGTGTTGATTAGTCTAAATGTGCTGATTAGTCTAAATGTGTTGATTAGTCTAAATGTGTTGATTAGTCTAAATGTGTTGATTAATCTAAATGTGTTGATTAAGCTAAATGTGTTGATTAGTCTAAATGTGTTGATTAGTCTAAATGTGTTGATTAGGCTAAATGTGTTGATTAGTCTAAATATGTTGATTAGTCTAAATGTGTTGATTAAGCTAAATGTGTTGATTAGGCTAAATGTGTTGATTAGTCTAAATGAGTTGATTAGTCTAGTTGTGTTGATACAAGCGCGTAACTAGTAAAACCTTAAGTATAGCAGAAGTTTGAGCCGCTCCTATGAAAGACGACCAAACTCAACACCAGTGTTTCTTCCAGACTTTTTTCTCCGGGGGGGCACTTGAAATCTTCGGGGGGGCGGTAAACTTTCTTCGGGGGGGCGGACACTGTTAAAAGTATATATTTTCTATATAAATTATATAAATTTCATTTCGTTCGGGGGGGCGGTAAAAATTTTTCGGGGGGGCTCCGCCCCCCCGAAGAGATGCCTGGAAGAAACTCTGCTCAACACTGCCGCCAGATTAGTTGTCATGAAAACAGAGAGAACGCCTGTGAATATGTAAACATTAGATCAAACTTTGTGTTCATGTAGACAGTGGCGGATCTACCATGCAGCCAGGCCCCGCGGTGCGGAGGGGAGGGGGGGGGGAAGGACGTTTATGGGACCAAATTCCGACCAAAAACAAAAGGTGGAGATAAACGTTTATGAAACTTCAATTCACTTAATTACTATTCCTTAACTATTTTCCCTAACTTGGATAAACCTCCGAAAAGAGCGCCTCTATGTTGTGTAACATTGACTACGCCTCTATTTCGAGCAACGTATGGTAAGAATAAAAAGCTTGAAGCTGGATGCTCACTGCCTGTAGCGAGTGATACGGGACTGAGTTAAACAAGTAGCAGGTGTTTTGTGGAATCATATTCTTTGTAAAGTAATATTACACTTCCAGATAACAGCCGTCTACTCATGTCTACAGATATCTACTGCACACTATTCACCTCCATATATATGTACACTCAGCTCCTCAGATATCTGCACTCAACTCACCATGAGATATCTGCACTCTACTTACCTCCACAGATATCTGCATTCTACTCACCCTCAGATATCTGCACTCTACTCACCTCCACAGATATCTGTACTCTACTCACTTAGATTGGCTCTAAGTTTTGTGAAATCATATTAATTTGAACGAATTATTAATTTGTTTTTTTCCAAAGGTTCCAACAGCTGATAATAATTGTTTTCATAAACTAAATTCACGAGTTGGGAGTGGGGGGAAGGGGAGCGCGGGATGGGAGTGGGGGGAAGGGGAGCACAGGATGGGAGTGGGGGGAAGGGAAGCACAGGATGGGAGTGTTGGAAGGAAAGCACGGGATGGGAGTGGGGGGAAGGGAAGCACAGGATGGGAGTGTTGGAAGGAAAGCACGGGATGGGAGTGGGGGGAAGGGGAGCACAGGATGGGAGTGGGGGGAAGGGGAGCACAGGATGGGAGTGGGGGGAAGGGGAGCACAGGATGGGAGTGGGGGGAAGGGAAGCACAGGATGGGAGTGTTGGAAGGAAAGCACGGGATGGGAGTGGGGGGAAGGGAAGCACAGGATGGGAGTGTTGGAAGGAAAGCACGGGATGGGAGTGGGGGGAAGGGAAGCACAGGATGGGAGTGGCAGGAAGGGAAGCACAGGATGGGAGTGGGGGGAAGGGGAGCACAGGATGGGAGTGTTGGAAGGAAAGCACGGGATGGGAGTGGGGGGAAGGGAAGCACAGGATGGGAGTGTTGGAAGGAAAGCACGGGATGGGAGTGGGGGGAAGGAAAGCACAGGATGGGAGTGGGGGGAAGGGAAGCACAGGATGGGAGTGGGGGGAAGGGGAGCACAGGATGGGAGTGTTGGAAGGAAAGCACGGGATGGGAGTGGGGGGAAGGGAAGCACAGGATGGGAGTGGCAGGAAGGGAAGCACAGGATGGGAGTGGGGGGAAGGGGAGCACAGGATGGGAGTGTTGGAAGGAAAGCACGGGATGGGAGTGCGGGGAAGGGAAGCACAGGATGGGAGTGTTGGAAGGAAAGCACGGGATGGGAGTGGGGGGAAGGGAAGCACAGGATGGGAGTGGGGGGAAGGGGAGCACAGGATGGGAGTGTTGGAAGGAAAGCACGGGATGGGAGTGGGGGGAAGGGAAGCACAGGATGGGAGTGGCAGGAAGGGAAGCACAGGATGGGAGTGTTGGAAGGAAAGCACGGGATGGGAGTGGGGGGAAGGGAAGCACAGGATGGGAGTGGCAGGAAGGGAAGCACAGGATGGGAGTGGGGGGAAGGGGAGCACAGGATGGGAGTGGGGGGAAGGGGAGCACAGGATGGGAGTGGGGGGAAGGGGAGCACAGGATGGGAGTGGGGGAAAGGGAGCATAGGATGGGAGTGGGGGGAAGGGGAGCACAGGATGGGAGTGGGGGGAAGGGGAGCACAGGATGGGAGTGGGGGAAAGGGAGCATAGGATGGGAGTGTTGGAAGGAAAGCACAGGATGGGAGTGGCAGGAAGGGAAGCACAGGATGGGAGTGGAGGGAAGGGAAGCACAGGATGGGGGGGGGGGGGGGTTGGATGGTGACGGGAGGTGGGTGTTGGAGGCGAGTGGTGGGGAGGGGACGTTCGGGGAACCGGTGAAGGAGCGGGTAGACTATTATGTACTTTGTGTCTCGATTCTAAAAGTGAAAAATAAAAGCACTGCTTGTTGATAGTTGTAAAATTTTAATCAGTCATTATAGCTGATTGTATGCCTTGTCTGTCTCTTGTCTGCCTCTACAGTTGCTGTTGGATCCAGTCGTAGTAGGCGCTGACGTCAGTATACACGCCGGGGTAGTTGGTCCTAGCGCAGCCTTGACCGTAGGAGACGACCCCAGCAGCCACCCAAGTGTTGGTCGCAGAGTTCAGACAGAACAGGGGTCCTCCTGAATCTCCCTGAAAGAAAAATTATTGTTGTTAGTGATTACAGCTTCAGAAATGTGCAGTCTATTCAATTGTTATTTTATATATACTTTTCTATGAAAAAAATGTGAATGTAAAAATTATTGTGATTAATTATGCGCATTGGCATAGCGAGGTCGGGTGTCACCCGGTGCGGCATCTAATGGTGTCAGTCTCTCACCCCCCCAAAGAATATATATATATATATATATATATATATATATATATATATATATATATATATATATATATATATATATATATATATATATATATCTTTTTTTTCTGGATGTTTATGTTTTCTGAGCTTCGTACTTTTGACTGAACTTTGTCCTTCAAATTTTAATGTGTAGAGAAATAAAGCGACCAATACTTATTTACGTTTTCATCCGCTAGAGGCTCTTTATATTTTATGGGTATACTAAATTTGTAATCAAATTATTTTAATTTATTATAATCCATAGCATAATGCAGTAATGCGTAACACCCACTTTTAAATAGTAATTAAAAAACAAAATGTTTTCATTTAAACTATTACATAATGAAAACTATTTACGACAATGACACAAAACAGTGAAAAAGATAATTATACATTTATTTTAAACATTTATCAACCAACTTTTAACAGGAACAGATTAATAACCCATAAACATATCACAAATCATGGATAACAAATCAGTAAAAAAAAAAAAGAACATCGACACAAGGCTAAATTATTTAAGCACAATCAAATGTACAACTATCGTTCCATTGGTGTCACACAATTACACACTTACACACTTACAAACACACACACAAACATAGGTACAAACTCGTGGGCTGTTTTATAATAATTTCCTTATCGAAAGATATGTATATTTGTAAATTTTCTATGTGGTTTCAACCAAATCCACTTCAGTGGACGGTGTATTTGGTGACACCCGCTCCCTTACGTTTCGTCGAATGGCGTCAATTTTGTGCAAACAATATATTAATCTACCTAGGAAAAGTATTTGGGAGCCTTATTCTAACAGTTATTTATTCAATTGCAAAATCTTTGTTTTGTAGTTAATTATAAAATTTGATGTCACCCCGCGCCCCCTCCCCCAGACATGGATTCACGCATACGTTATTACGATTCTCAATCAAACCGTTTACCTCATGTAAGTTTTGCAACGTTTGGTAGATGTAACTCTCCGTCCCCCCTTTACATGTGATAGCTTTAAACTGCAATACTAACGATGTTCATCTATAGTCGGCTATTAATACAGTTGGATGTAGCAATGTTTTCTCTATCATTAGCCTGGATTACGTCATGGTGTCACCCCCCACCCCCATTTGTCGGGATTTGTCAACTTTGCTTTAAAAGACATTTTAACTAACTACAGTGAATCATTATCATTTTTCTTTATATGTTTTGCTACTTTTTGCCTTGGTGTCACCCCCCCCCCCTAAATGGTGTCGCCTTTGATTATGCGTACTGTCAATACAAACGTATAGTATGTCTTAAAAATTGCACGACAGTATTAAGTTTATTGCTGGCATCAATATAATGGACTAAAGCGTACTCTTGTTCCCACAGATAAAAAAAAGTCCCACTTCTGGTTACCGGAAATCGTTCGAAAGTTATATATGAAATCTCGACGTACCGAACAAGCATCAACTCCTCCTGTGGTTTCACCAGCACAAAGCTGTCTGGTGGGGTCAGTGAAGTAGTCCTGGCCAGCTAAAGGAAATTGGGCGTAGCAATCTTCACCTTGGTAGGTTGTTATTGATGCTGTCTGCAGTGTTGTGGATGGCCGAAAAGCATTTTCTAGGAAATTAACCAAGTGATGATTAAGTCAAGGGCTCTCAAAAGATACGACTGGGTATGGATGCTTGTTAGCTCATAGATGTATTAAATACTGGTAGTTCTAAAACAAACTTATATAGACCGATTTATAGCCTAAAGCACTGCTACATGTAAAGACTAATATTTTCTTTCGTCTAATTAAATAAAAATAATAAGAACCTTAAAGTTATTTAAAAACTCACATTAAAAAAAGAGAACTTAGGACCTGACATTTAGTTACAAAAACAGACAAAAAACCTGACATTTTTATTACGAAAACAGACTTAGGACCTGACATTTAGTTACAAAAACAGACAAAAAACCCTGATATTTTTATTACGAAAACAGACTTAGGACCTGACATTTAGTTACAAAAACAGACAAAAAACCCTGATATTTTTATTACGAAAACAGACTTAGGACCTGACATTTAGTTACAAAAACAGACAAAAAACCCTGATATTTTTATTACGAAAACAGACTTAGGACCTGACATTTAGTTACAAAAACAGACAAAAAACCCTGATATTTTTATTACGAAAACAGACTTAGGACCTGACATTTAGTTACAAAAACAGACAAAAAACCTGACATTTTTATTACGAAAACAGACTTAGGACCTGACATTTAGTTACAAAAACAGACAAAAAACCCTGATATTTTTATTACGAAAACAGACTTAGGACCTGACATTTAGTTACAAAAACAGACAAAAAACCCTGATATTTTTATTACGAAAACAGACTTAGGACCTGACATTTAGTTACAAAAACAGACAAAAAACCCTGATATTTTTATTACGAAAACAGACTTAGGACCTGACATTTAGTTACAAAAACAGACAAAAAACCTGACATTTTTATTACGAAAACAGACTTAGGACCTGACATTTAGTTACAAAAACAGACAAAAAACCCTGATATTTTTATTACGAAAACAGACTTAGGACATCACATTTAGTTACAAAAACAGACAAAAAACCCTGATATTTTTATTACGAAAACAGACTTAGGACCTGACATTTAGTTACAAAAACAGACAAAAAACCTGATATTTTTATTACGAAAACAGACTTAGGACCTGACATTTAGTTACAAAAACAGACAAAAAACCCTGATATTTTTATTACGAAAACAGACTTAGGACCTGACATTTAGTTACAAAAACAGACAAAAAACCCTGATATTTTTATTACGAAAACAGACTTAGGACCTGACATTTAGTTACAAAAACAGACAAAAAACCTGACATTTTTATTACGAAAACAGACTTAGGACCTGACATTTAGTTACAAAAACAGACAAAAAACCTGACATTTTTATTACGAAAACAGACTTAGGACCTGACATTTAGTTACAAAACCAGACTGAAAACCTGACATTTAGTTACAAAACCAGACTGAAAACCTGACATTTAGTTACAAAAACAGACTTAGAACCTCACCATCTGTAACACCCCAGCCAGCAATTTGACATTTCTGTCCCGATACAACTTGATACGTCGGGTCCAAAGAAATGGGTTTGGCGCATGTTCTAGTTAGGTTTATAGGCGTGTCTAAGGTAAGAACGGCTATAGCATTGGCTAAATAGAATAAGAGAAAAAAAATAATTTTCATTTATTTAAAAAAAGTGGGAGTGATCTTCCCGGACCTTTCTCGTTTTTAGTTATATCAAATTACGTGTTGTTATGGCTCATCCAGTGGAACGGACGATTGTTAGGCAGGCAGGCAGGCAGGCAGCAAGGCAGACAGACAAACTGGCTTTTCCGACTCAGAAAGTTGTAAAATCTCGAAGAATATCGAGATCTCGCTTTAGATCTTTCGCACTTTTTCTATACGGAATATAAAGGAAGACTTCCTCTATACTCAATATACGCGAAAGTAAAAAGGTAGATTTAAGTAAAAATTCACAGATTTTATAAATACAAGCCTAACTAAAAGGTACCCAATATTTTCGTCTTACTTTTAGCAATGTAGTCAAAGGCTGGATGGACGGAGACACCAGTCGCCATGTTGACAACAAAGACTTGTTCTGTTCCCTCCACGACAGACGTATCGCACTCTCCAACTGTGGCCTGGATGCTGGTCTTCTGACTGTGGTCATTGTCAAGTACAAAGGTAGAAATTATATGGTCATTGTGGTCAATTATAAAAGTGGGAATTATATGGTCACCGTGTTCTAGTATACAGGTGGGAATTATACGGTCAAGTGGTCACTGTGTTCAATTATTTAAGTGGTTACTGTGTTGTATAATTATAACAAAGGTAGGAATTGTAAGGTCACTGTGTTGAAAAATAAAGGTGGGAATTATAAGACCACTGTGTTGTATGAGAAAGGTGGGAATTATATGGCCACTGTGTTGTATAATAAAGGTGGGAATTATATGACCACTGTGTTCTGTACAAAAATGCAGGAGGTTGACGTACCTAGCACAATGTGCCGATGTGAGAATGTGGGTTGCATCTATTATAAGACCACCACAAACATCATCGTCCACCACAAGTCTGACCATCCACGGATACGTGTTGCACGATCCAGCTATCGATTTGCCCACAAATGCTGTCAATATATATATATATATATATATATATATATATATATATATATATATATATATATATATATATATATATATAATTACATTATTACATACAAGCTTGTTATTAAAACGTTAATTATGAATTTTTTTGCAAGCTTTTAATTAATTCACTGTTTCTGTGGGACTGTTGTCAGTCTGTCTAGATCGAAACGCCCGAGCGAAATTACGAGCACTTCTAACTGATAGACACGGTTCAAAGTTGGCACGTGGGTCAAGGCATGAATACAATGCAATCTGACATTAAATGTGACTTAATTGGTCAAAATTTCGCTCGGGCGTTTTGATCTAAACAGACAGACAGACTGACTACAGAACGACTGAGACAGTTAGTTAATTAAAAGCTTGTAAAAACAAGCGGATTTCTTACAAACCTATATTTCTATAGCTCTATACCACAATTATTGTTATTTTACTATTAGAGGACCAAACAATGTAGGGGCAATGACTCCCGCTTTATTTGGTACGCTGTTAATTTATTCAAGTGAAGGTCAGTTAACAACAATCTTTGAGCATGAAAAAAAAAGATACAACAATAGCATCTAAGGCCAAAAAAAAAAAAAGAAAACAATTTTTAATGCAAATAAATTTAGGATAGCAAAAGAGAAATAAAAACAGCTGGTAGTGGTAGCACTGGGAGTACGAACTTTAAAACAGGGCAAATTAAATTAGCTTAAAATGGATCACATTTATTTGGGAAATTTAAAAAAAAGTATTATTTAACAAAAGAAATTAAGTAAAACCGTACGTACCGGTGCGAGACGATGTTGGAGTTTCCACCATTGTCATGTTAGGAAAGGTCGTTGTAGTTTTTGTAATGGTTTCTGTTATTGTGGTGGTGTTAGGATTAGTTGTTGTAGTGATTGTAGTTGTAATGGTTTCTGGTGTTGTGGTGTTAGGATTGGTTGTTGTAGTTGTTGTAATGGTTTTCGATGTTGTGGTTGTCGTAGGCATGGTTGTTATAGTTGTTGTATGGGTTTCCGGTAATTTGGTGGAAGGATTAGTTGTTGTAGTTGTTGTAATGGTTTCTGATGTCGTGGTGGTAGTAAGATTGATTGTTGAAGCTGTTGTAAAGGTTCCTGGTGTTGTGGTGGTAGTAGGATTAGTTGTTGTTGTTGAAATGATTTCTGATGTTGTGGTGTTAGTAAGATTAGTCGTTGTATTTGTAAAGGTTTTTGATAAAGTTCTGGCTGTAGGATCAGTTATTGCAGATGTTGTAATGGTTTTTGATCTTGTGGTGGTAGTAACATTGGTTCTTGTAGATGTCGTAATAGTTTCTGGTGTTGTTTTAGTGGTGGTAGGATTAGTTGTTTTAGTTATTGAATTGGTTTTTGATGTTGTGGTAGTGGTATGATTGGACTTTGTAGTTGTTGTACTGGTTTCTGGTGTGGTAGTGTTAGGATTTTTTGTTGTAATTTTGGTAATGGTTTCTTGTGTTGTGGTGGTAGTAGGATAGGATGTTGTAGTTGTTTTAATGGTAGTGCTAGTAAGATTAATCGATGTAGTTGTTGTAATGATTTCTGTTGTTATGGTGTTATTAAGATTGGTAGTTGTAGTTGTTGTGATAATTTCAGATGTTGTGGTGGGGTTAGGATTAGTTAATACAGTTGTTGTTATAGTTTCTGATAATATGGTTAAAGTAAGATTGGTGTTTGTAGTCGTTGTAATGCTTTCTAGTGTTTTGGTGGTGTTGGGATTAGTTGTTGTAATTGTTGTAAAGTTTTCTGTTTTTCTGGTGGTAGTAGGATTGGTTGTTGTAGTTGTTGAAAAGGTTTCTGTTGTTGTGGTGGTGTTAGGATTAGTTGTTCTAGTTCTTGTAAATGTTTCTGATGCTGTGGTGGTAGTAGGAAGAATTGTTGCAGTTGTTGCAATGCTTTCTGGTGTTGATGTCGTAATAGTATTGGCTGCTGTCTTAGATGTATTGGTTTCTGGTGTTGAAAAGGTGGTAGGAGAAGTTGTTGTAGTTGTTGTAAATAGTACTGGATGTTTAGTGGTCGTCGAAGTTTTTGTTGTAAATAATTCTGGAGTCGTGGTACTAACAGGAATGGTTGTTTTATTAGATGTTATGGTTTCTAGTGTTGTGATGGTAGTAAGACTGGTTGGTGTAGCTGTTGCAACGTTTTCTGTTATTGTAGTCGTGGTAGGTATGGTTGGTGTAAGTGTTGTAATGGTTTCTGGTGTTATGGTTGTCGATAGCAAGGTTAGCCGAGTTGATGTAATGGTCTCTGGTGTAGTTTTGCTGGTTGGAGTTATTTGTGGAGTTGTTGTAATAGTTTCTTGTGCTGTGGTGGTAGGAATTAATTTTGTAGATGTTGTAATTGTTTTTGGTGTTATGGTGGTTGGTGTGAGTGTTGAAATGGTCTCCCCTGTAGTTGTGGTGGGAGGAATTATTTGTGTAGTTATTATAATGGTTGGTTTAGTTGTTGTAATGTTTTCTGGTGTTGTGGTGAGATTTGGAATGGTTGTGTGATTAGTTGTAAAGGTTTCTGGTGTTGTGGTTGCAGTAGTAATGGGTTTTGTGGTTGGTGTAAAGATGGCTTTCGGTGTTGTAATAATGGGAGGAATAGTAGCTGTGCTTGTTGTCATTAATTCTTGTGCTGTGGTTGTAATACGATTTGTGGTTGTAATGTTTTCTGTCGTTGTGGTGGTTGTAGGAATGGTTGGTGTAAGTGTTGAAATGGTCTCTGGTGTAGTTGTGGTGGTAGGAATTATTTGAGTAGTTGTTGTAATTGTTTCTTGTGTTGTGGTTGTAGGAATTATTTTTGTAGTTGTTGTAATTGTTTTTGGTGTTGTGGTTGTGGGAGGAATGGTTGGTGTAGCTGTCGCAATGTTTTCGGTTGTTGTGGTGGAAGGAATGGTTGGTTTAGTTGTTGTACTGGTTTCTGGTGTTGTGGTTGTAGGAATTATTTTTGTAGTTGTTGTAATTGTTTTTGGTGTGGTGGTGGTGGTGGTAGGAATGGTTGGTGCAGCTGTTGCAATGTTTTCGGTTGTTGTGGTGGAAGGAATGGTTGGTTTAGTTGTTGTAATGGTTTCTGTTGTTGTGGTTGTGGTAGGCATGGTTAGTCTAGTTGTTGTAATGGTCTCTGGTGTAGTTGTGGTGGTAGGAATTTTTTTTGTAGCTGTTGTAATTGTTTCTGGTTTTGTGGTGGTGGAAGAAATGGTTGGTGTACTTGTTGTAATGTTCTCGGGTGTTGTGGTGAGATTTGGAATGGTTGTGCGATTAGTTGTTAAGGATTCTGGTTTTGTGGTTGCAGCAGAAATGGGTGGTTTTATGGTTGGTGTAAAGATGGCTTCCGGTGTTGTAATGATGGGAGAAATAGTAGATGTGCTTGTTGTCATTGTTTCTTGTGCTGTGGTTGTAATACGATTTGTTGTTGTAATGTTTTCTGCCGTTGTGGTGGTTGTAGGAATGGTTGGTGTAAGTGTTGAAATGGTCTCTGGTGTAGTTGTGGTGGTAGGAATTATTTGAGTAGTTGTTGTAATTGTTTCTTGTGTTGTGGTTGTAGGAATTATTTTTGTAGTTGTTGTAATTGTTTTTGGTGTTGTGGTTGTGGGAGGAATGGTTGGTGTAGCTGTCGCAATGTTTTCGGTTGTTGTGGTGGAAGGAATGGTTGGTTTAGTTGTTGTACTGGTTTCTGGTGTTGTGGTTGTAGGAATTATTTTTGTAGTTGTTGTAATTGTTTTTGGTGTGGTGGTGGTGGTGGTAGGAATGGTTGGTGCAGCTGTTGCAATGTTTTCGGTTGTTGTGGTGGAAGGAATGGTGGGTTTAGTTGTTGTAATGGTTTCTGTTGTTGTGGTTGTGGTAGGCATGGTAAGTCTAGTTGTTGTAATGGTCTCTGGTGTAGTTGTGGTGGTAGGAATTATTTTTGTAGCTGTTGTAATTGTTTCTGGTTTTGTGGGGGTGGAAGAAATGGTTGGTGTACTTGTTGTAATGTTCTCGGGTGTTGTGGTGAGATTTGGAATGGTTGTGCGATTAGTTGTTAAGGATTCTGGTTTTGTGGTTGCAGCAGAAATGGGTGGTTTTATGGTTGGTGTAAAGATGGCTTCCGGTGTTGTAATGATGGGAGAAATAGTAGATGTGCTTGTTGTCATTGTTTCTTGTGCTGTGGTTGTAATACGATTTGTTGTTGTAATGTTTTCTGCCGTTGTGGTGGTTGTAGGAATGGTTGGTGTAAGTGTTGAAATGGTCTCTGGTGTAGTTGTGTTGGTAGGAATTATTTGAGTAGTTGTTGTAATTGTTTCTTGTGTTGTGGTTGTAGGAATTATTTTTGTAGTTGTTGTAATTGTTTTTGGTGTTGTGGTTGTGGGAGGAATGGTTGGTGTAGCTGTCGCAATGTTTTCGGTTGTTGTGGTGGAAGGAATGGTTGGTTTAGTTGTTGTACTGGTTTCTGGTGTTGTGGTTGTAGGAATTATTTTTGTAGTTGTTGTAATTGTTTTTGGTGTGGTGGTGGTGGTGGTAGGAATGGTTGGTGCAGCTGTTGCAATGTTTTCGGTTGTTGTGGTGGAAGGAATGGTGGGTTTAGTTGTTGTAATGGTTTCTGTTGTTGTGGTTGTGGTAGGCATGGTTAGTCTAGTTGTTGTAATGGTCTCTGGTGTAGTTGTGGTGGTAGGAATTATTTTTGTAGCTGTTGTAATTGTTTCTGGTTTTGTGGTGGTGGAAGAAATGGTTGGTGTACTTGCTGTAATGTTCTCGGGTGTTGTGGTGAGATTTGGAATGGTTGTGCGATTAGTTGTTAAGGATTCTGGTTTTGTGGTTGCAGCAGTAATGGGTGGTTTTATGGTTGGTGTAAATATGGCTTCCGGTGTTGTAATGATGGGAGGAATAGTAGATGTGCTTGTTGTCATTGTTTCTTGTGCTGTGGTTGTAATACGATTTGTTGTTGTAATGTTTTCTGCCGTTGTGGTGGTTGTAGGAATGGTTGGTGTAAGTGTTGAAATGGTCTCTGGTGTAGTTGTGGTGGTAGGAATTATTTGAGTAGTTGTTGTAATTGTTTCTTGTGTTGTGGTTGTAGGAATTATTTTTGTAGTTGTTGTAATTGTTTTTGGTGTTGTGGTTGTGGGAGGAATGGTTGGTGTAGCTGTCGCAATGTTTTCGGTTGTTGTGGTGGAAGGAATGGTTGGTTTAGTTGTTGTACTGGTTTCTGGTGTTGTGGTTGTAGGAATTATTTTTGTAGTTGTTGTAATTGTTTTTGGTGTGGTGGTGGTGGTGGTAGGAATGGTTGGTGCAGCTGTTGCAATGTTTTCGGTTGTTGTGGTGGAAGGAATGGTGGGTTTAGTTGTTGTAATGGTTTCTGTTGTTGTGGTTGTGGTAGGCATGGTTAGTCTAGTTGTTGTAATGGTCTCTGGTGTAGTTGTGGTGGTAGGAATTATTTTTGTAGCTGTTGTAATTGTTTCTGGTTTTGTGGTGGTGGAAGAAATGGTTGGTGTACTTGTTGTAATGTTCTCGGGTGTTGTGGTGAGATTTGGAATGGTTGTGCGATTAGTTGTTAAGGATTCTGGTTTTGTGGTTGCAGCAGTAATGGGTGGTTTTATGGTTGGTGTAAAGATGGCTTCCGGTGTTGTAATTATGGGAGGAATAGTAGATGTGCTTGTTGTCATTGTTTCTTGTGCTGTGGTTGTAATACGATTTGTTGTTGTAATGTTTTCTGCCGTTGTGGTGGTTGTAGGAATGGTTGGTGTAAGTGTTGAAATGGTCTCTGGTGTAGTTGTGGTGGTAGGAATTATTTTTGTAGTTGTTGTAATTGTTTTTGGTGTTGTGGTTGTGGGAGGAATGGTTGGTTTAGCTGTCGCAATGTTTTCGGTTGTTGTGGTGGAAGGAATGGTTGGTTTAGTTGTTGTACTGGTTTCTGGTGTTGTGGTTGTAGGAATTATTTTTGTAGTTGTTGTAATTGTTTTTGGTGTGGTGGTGGTGGTGGTAGGAATGGTTGGTGCAGCTGTTGCAATGTTTTCGGTTGTTGTGGTGGAAGGAATGGTGGGTTTAGTTGTTGTAATGGTTTCTGTTGTTGTGGTTGTGGTAGGCATGGTTAGTCTAGTTGTTGTAATGGTCTCTGGTGTAGTTGTGGTGGTAGGAATTATTTTTGTAGCTGTTGTAATTGTTTCTGGTTTTGTGGTGGTGGAAGAAATGGTTGGTGTACTTGTTGTAATGTTCTCGGGTGTTGTGGTGAGATTTGGAATGGTTGTGCGATTAGTTGTTAAGGATTCTGGTTTTGTGGTTGCAGCAGTAATGGGTGGTTTTATGGTTGGTGTAAAGATGGCTTCCGGTGTTGTAATGATGGGAGGAATAGTAGATGTGCTTGTTGTCATTGTTTCTTGTGCTGTGGTTGTAATACGATTTGTTGTTGTAATGTTTTCTGCCGTTGTGGTGGTTGTAGGAATGGTTGGTGTAAGTGTTGAAATGGTCTCTGGTGTAGTTGTGGTGGTAGGAATTATTTGAGTAGTTGTTGTAATTGTTTCTTGTGTTGTGGTTGTAGGAATTATTTTTGTAGTTGTTGTAATTGTTTTTGGTGTTGTGGTTGTGGGAGGAATGGTTGGTGTAGCTGTCGCAATGTTTTCGGTTGTTGTGGTGGAAGGAATGGTTGGTTTAGTTGTTGTACTGGTTTCTGGTGTTGTGGTTGTAGGAATTATTTTTGTAGTTGTTGTAATTGTTTTTGGTGTGGTGGTGGTGGTGGTAGGAATGGTTGGTGCAGCTGTTGCAATGTTTTCGGTTGTTGTGGTGGAAGGAATGGTGGGTTTAGTTGTTGTAATGGTTTCTGTTGTTGTGGTTGTGGTAGGCATGGTTAGTCTAGTTGTTGTAATGGTCTCTGGTGTAGTTGTGGTGGTAGGAATTATTTTTGTAGCTGTTGTAATTGTTTCTGGTTTTGTGGTGGTGGAAGAAATGGTTGGTGTACTTGTTGTAATGTTCTCGGGTGTTGTGGTGAGATTTGGAATGGTTGTGCGATTAGTTGTTAAGGATTCTGGTTTTGTGGTTGCAGCAGTAATGGGTGGTTTTATGGTTGGTGTAAAGATGGCTTCCGGTGTTGTAATGATGGGAGGAATAGTAGATGTGCTTGTTGTCATTGTTTCTTGTGCTGTGGTTGTAATACGATTTGTTGTTGTAATGTTTTCTGCCGTTGTGGTGGTTGTAGGAATGGTTGGTGTAAGTGTTGAAATGGTCTCTGGTGTAGTTGTGGTGGTAGGAATTATTTGAGTAGTTGTTGTAATTGTTTCTTGTGTTGTGGTTGTAGGAATTATTTTTGTAGTTGTTGTAATTGTTTTTGGTGTTGTGGTTGTGGGAGGAATGGTTGGTGTAGCTGTCGCAATGTTTTCGGTTGTTGTGGTGGAAGGAATGGTTGGTTTAGTTGTTGTAATGGTTTCTGTTGTTGTGGTTGTGGTAGGCATGGTTAGTCTAGTTGTTGTAATGGTCTCTGGTGTAGTTGTGGTGGTAGGAATTTTTTTTGTAGCTGTTGTAATTGTTTCTGGTTTTGTGGTGGTGGAAGAAATGGTTGGTGTACTTGTTGTAATGTTCTCGGGTGTTGTGGTGAGATTTGGAATGGTTGTGCGATTAGTTGTTAAGGATTCTGGTTTTGTGGTTGCAGCAGAAATGGGTGGTTTTATGGTTGGTGTAAAGATGGCTTCCGGTGTTGTAATGATGGGAGAAATAGTAGATGTGCTTGTTGTCATTGTTTCTTGTGCTGTGGTTGTAATACGATTTGTTGTTGTAATGTTTTCTGCCGTTGTGGTGGTTGTAGGAATGGTTGGTGTAAGTGTTGAAATGGTCTCTGGTGTAGTTGTGGTGGTAGGAATTATTTGAGTAGTTGTTGTAATTGTTTCTTGTGTTGTGGTTGTAGGAATTATTTTTGTAGTTGTTGTAATTGTTTTTGGTGTTGTGGTTGTGGGAGGAATGGTTGGTGTAGCTGTCGCAATGTTTTCGGTTGTTGTGGTGGAAGGAATGGTTGGTTTAGTTGTTGTACTGGTTTCTGGTGTTGTGGTTGTAGGAATTATTTTTGTAGTTGTTGTAATTGTTTTTGGTGTGGTGGTGGTGGTGGTAGGAATGGTTGGTGCAGCTGTTGCAATGTTTTCGGTTGTTGTGGTGGAAGGAATGGTGGGTTTAGTTGTTGTAATGGTTTCTGTTGTTGTGGTTGTGGTAGGCATGGTTAGTCTAGTTGTTGTAATGGTCTCTGGTGTAGTTGTGGTGGTAGGAATTATTTTTGTAGCTGTTGTAATTGTTTCTGGTTTTGTGGGGGTGGAAGAAATGGTTGGTGTACTTGTTGTAATGTTCTCGGGTGTTGTGGTGAGATTTGGAATGGTTGTGCGATTAGTTGTTAAGGATTCTGGTTTTGTGGTTGCAGCAGAAATGGGTGGTTTTATGGTTGGTGTAAAGATGGCTTCCGGTGTTGTAATGATGGGAGAAATAGTAGATGTGCTTGTTGTCATTGTTTCTTGTGCTGTGGTTGTAATACGATTTGTTGTTGTAATGTTTTCTGCCGTTGTGGTGGTTGTAGGAATGGTTGGTGTAAGTGTTGAAATGGTCTCTGGTGTAGTTGTGTTGGTAGGAATTATTTGAGTAGTTGTTGTAATTGTTTCTTGTGTTGTGGTTGTAGGAATTATTTTTGTAGTTGTTGTAATTGTTTTTGGTGTTGTGGTTGTGGGAGGAATGGTTGGTGTAGCTGTCGCAATGTTTTCGGTTGTTGTGGTGGAAGGAATGGTTGGTTTAGTTGTTGTACTGGTTTCTGGTGTTGTGGTTGTAGGAATTATTTTTGTAGTTGTTGTAATTGTTTTTGGTGTGGTGGTGGTGGTGGTAGGAATGGTTGGTGCAGCTGTTGCAATGTTTTCGGTTGTTGTGGTGGAAGGAATGGTGGGTTTAGTTGTTGTAATGGTTTCTGTTGTTGTGGTTGTGGTAGGCATGGTTAGTCTAGTTGTTGTAATGGTCTCTGGTGTAGTTGTGG